ACAAAGCTAATATTATTATAAGTTACATTTTACATTAATTAAATCTCTCAAATATCGAGTGGTGAATTCGAAAAATACTTCTCATTGTATAGAAGATAAAATTATTTTATTTCCAGCACACAAATATACAGTATATGTTTACAATATTCTTATTAATTAGATATGTAGCCTAGAAATGTTTTTTAAACGAGAAAACACATTAACATTACTAGACGGAGGTAAATGCTAATATTTTGGTACATATTATTTGCATACGATAACATTGTTAAATATTCTGAACTGAGAATATTATGACTACATGTTTGAGAAAATAGAGCTTGTTGTTTCTAAATTGTTATACGCATTGGTTCGCAATCTTTATATGAAACATAATGTATGTCGGTATGATATAGTTTTAGATATAACTTATTTATACAAGATACGGCATTAACGTTATCTCTGAATATTTACTGATGTCTTAGACTTAAACACCTTTTATCAGTGTTAATTATGTGTCATTTATTAAGGAAAATATGTGATTAAATTTATTAACGTCTACGAATAAAATTACTGTTCAAAAATTTTGTTAAACTTATGAATATGTTTGTTTCAGATTAGGAATTACTCCGCTAAGTTCAGTGTGGATAGGGGCGTGGTGGATTGGTTTTATTTTTTCTGCCTTCCTCTGTCTGATCGTGGCTGTCCCTCTACTAGCATTCCCTTATGAACTGCCGGGTAAGATTATAACGCACGGTATTTACCAAAACCTGTAATTATTCGTGTCGTCTTGATTCTATTTTGGAGCCGTACTTTTATATAAAAATTCTAACGCGTGCTAACAATTACGATTGATAATTTTTGAAGTGAAACTTCTTTATCGGGGTTGGAAAAAAATTTAGTGTAACATTTTTGCGTTACGCGTCACATTTTTCCGTTACGCGCCATGTTGCTTTTTGAAGTCAAACTTCTTTATCGGCGTTAAAATATGACATATAGTATGTTTTTGACTTTGAAGTTTGACAACGGATTACATTTTCGACTTGAAATTTGCTAATCGCAATTTGCAGCAATTAATTTGTAAATTGTATGCTAGGCAGTGTACCAAAATTTACTGTGTTTAAAGAAATAGTTTCTAATAAGGTCATAAAGAAGTTTCACTTCTTACGTGTGTACACCTAGTACACGCACACATTTTTTTATATAGGATTCCAACTTGAGCAGTGTTGGCCTAGCGGCTTCAGCGTGCGACTCTCATACCTGAGGTCGTAGGTTCGATCCCCGGCTGTGCACCAATGGACTTTCTTTCTATGTGCGAATTTAACATTCGCTTGAACGGTGAAGGAAAACATCGTGAGGAAACTGACATGTCTTAGACCCAAAAAGTCGATGGCGTGTGCCAGGCACTGGAGGCTGATCACGTACTTGCCTATTAGATTTAAAAATGATTATGTAACAGATTCAGAGATCTGAGGCCAAGACCTAAAGAGTTTGTAGCGCCACTGATTCCGACTTGTAAAAGCAAGAGTATGCTTATTTAAATATGGTAATGACGTTGCTTATCTTTCGTTTGATTAATTTACCCTGGTTTAATTAGCATCATTATTTCATGCAATTTTATTGTACTATAATGACAGTATATACCAGTTGTATATATTGTAGACAGTACCTACATATCCGTGGGAGGTTCTGGATTCGTTTGACTGTTAGTTTCAGGATGGAACGCCTCTTTGCTTTATGGTAAAATTATAGAAAACAGAACAGATCTGAAGATATACTTGGTGAAAAACAAAGAGATAAATAAAATAATGTTTATTTTCAGGAGCAGCAGAAATCCGAGCATCGAAGGTATCAGAAGCTCACGAGGGCTCAGCTTCTAAGTCAGCTGCATTCAGCGCCTTACGCGAGTTACCTCGGGCCGCGGTGGCCCTCTTCAAGAATCCTACATTCATGTTTCTTAACTTAGCTGGGGCGAGTGAAGGAATGCTTATATCGGGATTCGCTGCTTTTCTTCCCAAACTCATTGAAAACCAGTTCGCTGTCAGCGCTTCGTATGCTGCGCTACTCTTAGGTAGTAGCTTTTATTCAAACATACGCAAATTGTATTATAATGTTTTCTCTAGTTTATTGCTATAACACAGAAGTGATAATCACAAAATATTTACGACGACTTTTAAATTTATTCAAGTGATATAAGACTTTTCAATGTTTATCAAGCAAGGTGGGAGAACATTTGTTGTGTCCTTTCTTAATAATAATAATAAGAAAGAGATGACATAAGTAATTACATTATGTATGTTTAGATCGAAAAAACAATTGATCGATGTCTTGTACATAATATGACAGTCTTTCCCGAAAAAATATGCTTAATACAACTGGCACTTCAGCTAACACAGTGTACTGTACGGTCCCTGGGTCAACGGGGTGCTTTAAATAATAGAGGATTTTATTTCTACTGATATTAACCACTCGTGTACAACAATAAAGTATGTGCGAAATAAATGCTAATTGCTATGAAACGAATTATAATATTTATAATGGCTATACTCTATACTCTCGGGGTGTAAGTCCGACGATTTAGTTACTCGTCACGCTTATGAAACTAAGAAAGCATGAGTGAGCAAAATGTACAGCCTTGCCTCGTATAGTTACCATGGTTGCATTTTGTATGGTAATATTAACAAAATATTACTCTTTCTACTTCTTTCTTTCTTTTCTACTACGTAGACTACGTTTTATATCTAATAATATTATAGTTTCGAATGGATCCTTTTAACCAGTAGGCTTTACATGCGTAACAATCCGTTAGTTTATAAAACGAATATAAAAACATTATTTCAGGTGTGATAACAGTTCCTGCGGGAGGTGGTGGCACTTTCGCCGGAGGATGGCTGGTGAAGAGGTGGAGGCTCGCTTGCGCCGGTATCATTAAGCTATGCGTTGGCGCAACATTACTGGCGGGACTGTTTACTTTCTCCTTCGTATTATCATGTGACGACTATCCATTTGCTGGGATCACGGCTGCGTATTCTAGTCCTAGGGTGCCAGGGTAAGACTAATATATAGAATATTATCCCAAAAAGTATCATTTGGAATAATTTGCCAAAACATATCTCGATCGATTTTTCTTAAATTGAAATGAAGTATGCTAAATGAAACTTGGTAAATAACTTTTTTAAATTGAATATTTAAATTCGCACTTATAAAGGAAATAATTAGAATTGTAAGTACCTAGTAAAATAATGCTATGCAAAAGAACTTAGTGGAAAGTTTACAGATATAACAAAAACATAGTCAATAGGCTCAAGTCCCAATTAAGAATGTACACAATTCACCCTTACCAAAGCATTAATACATGAAATAAACTAAATTAAGAGCTAAGGATCAGAAATGAAATATGATGTGAGGGGGCTGTATAAATATTTTTCCTACTAAATATAAAATATTCCAGGGGCGACCGACTCCTCGCGGAATGCAACGCGGGTTGCGGTTGCGCAGGCGCCCCTTATGCGCCCGTGTGCGGGGCAGACGGCATCGTGTACTTCTCTCCTTGCCACGCCGCCTGCACCACCGCCACCACCAGTGGCACTGCGCAGCTCTATCACCACTGCGCCTGTGTCAGTTTCAATGGCACGCTGCCGGTTTATACCGAACCAGGTAAAGGCTTTTTAAGACTAAGTTAAATTGCTTGAATAATCTGGCGAAAAGTATGTCACTTAATATAGGAATTTATTGAATTCGGTTAAATTTAGTAGTTGGTGTTTTTAGAGTTATAAAATTTAAAAAGTCTAAATAGATTTTTAGTAAAAATAAATATAAATAAAATATTTAATTTTTAAGGAAATTACTTTTGACATATGAAGTTTTTTATCTTAGGATCTTCTCATCACATCACGGCCGTAGATTTAAAATAAACAACAAAGAAACAGCTAATATGAAAATTATTTCAGTCATCATGTCATAAATCAATAGTTAATATTTTATGAAGAATAAAATAAGCCAATGCCTAGACATGAAGGCCCTGATTTCAATAAAATAACTATTTTATGTAAATAAATATCAGACCATAAATGTGACTTTATATTATATATAATAAACTTGTAACACCTAAATTCCAGATGGTACCAATCCGGTGATGTACGAAGCTATAAACAGCACGTGCAAGTCAGACTGCCCATATCTATGGCTGTTCGTGTTCCTCACGTTCTGCGTGATGCTGTTCACATTCTTGGCCACTATGCCAGCACTTTCTGCTACCTTAAGGTACAGTACTAGCTAAATGTGGTTGTGGTTGATCTGTTTGCTAGTCATCTCACGAAGTTCAATAAATTTCAACACATTTGAGTAGGCGCCAAAATTCTTATTTTATGGCATATTCCTCGCCGAATCGCTGCTCAAAGATAATGTAAACGAGTGCAAGGTCAGTTTTTCATTCCGACCCATTGGTGCCGACGATATAGTGAGGATATTTAGAACCATAGATATTAAGAACACTACCGATCTTTGGGGTATTTCTGTAAAAATAATTAGTAGCATAATTGATGTAATTGCTCCCCATCTAGCTATAATTTTCAACAATTGTATTAAAAGTGGCGAGTTTCCCGATCTAATGAAACATAGTAAAGTTATTCCTTTATTTAAAGCAGGTAGTATGTCCGACCCCAGTAACTTTAGACCAATTTCCGTACTACCTACTTGTAGTAAAATATTTGAAAAAATTATATTAAATCAACTGGTAAGTCATTTTAACGTAAACAAATTATTACATAATAATCAGTTCGGTTTTACCAAGGGTCGCTCGACAGCCGATGCCGGTGTTGAGTTATATAGATATATAGTTAAGGCTTGGGAGGAGTCGCATGACGCTTTAGGTGTTTTCTGCGACTTATCCAAAGCATTTGATTGTGTCCAACACGAGACCTTAATCGGGAAACTCCGCCACTATGGCATCAAGAATACCGCACTGAATCTTCTGACTTCCTATTTACACGGAAGAACTCAGAAGGTTGAAGTGAATGGTAAGAGGTCCTCTGGGTCGGCAGTAGATATGGGGTACCACAGGGCTCAATTCTTGGCCCTTTCCTCTTTCTTGTTTATATAAATGATCTACCTTTCATGGTAGAGAGAAAACATCAGATAGTTTTGTTTGCTGATGACACGTCCTTGATTTTTAAAATCAAACGACAAATAACAAATTTTGACGATGTGAACAATGCTCTGTCTTCGATTGTCCATTGGTTTAGTATGAATAACCTTCTACTTAATGCAAAAAAGACAAAATGCATTAAATTTTGTGCAAAAAATGCAAGGGTTATGGATACTAGACCAATTATAAACGGTGAGGAATTGAATCTGGATGATACAACTGTATTTCTCGGAATCACCATGGATTCAAAACTTCAGTGGTCCCCTCATATTAACGGATTGGCGAAGAGACTTAGTTCTGCAGCCTACGCGGTTAAAAAAATTCGCTCACTAACTGATGTCGATACAGCTAGACTTGTTTATTTTAGTTACTTTCATAGCTTAATGACTTATGGCTTATTATTATGGGGTCATGCTGCTGATGTCGAAACTATTTTCATCCTGCAGAAGAGGGCTATTCGTGCAATCTATAATTTAAAATGTAGGGAATCTCTTAGAGATAAATTCAAGGAAATTAATATACTTACCTTTCCCTCGCAATATATTTATGAAAATATTATGTATGTATACAAAAATAGTGATAAGTTTACTAGAATAGAACATACGCACAATGTTAATACACGGAACAAACGCAGGCTGCAATTTCCCCGTACTAGACTATCTAAAGTTAGTAATTCTTTTTTGGGGAAAGGGATACTCTTCTTTAATAAAATCCCAGAGGCTCTTTTATCACTGCCTTTCAATAAATTTAAGAAATGTATTAAAGAAAAGCTGTGTAAAAAGGCTTACTATAAAGTCAACGATTATCTAGTTGATAAAAGGGCCTGGGACTAGTGCTAGACAGGCTACTTCTAATCAATTTGCGATATTTGTTTTAAATAAGTGTTGTTTGATGATTTGCTGTTTTAAAAGAGTACCGAGAGTTTTTTACGCCGGCTTTTTCTCTCGGCCTACACCCTCTGTCTTCTTTGCCGATGAGTAGGGATGCCTTCAAATTTAATGACGTGGAATAAGTGATACATGTATCTTATGTTCCATAATAAACATATTTTATTTTATTTTTATTTTATTTTACAGATGTGTTCGCGAGGATCAACGTTCATTTGCATTAGGAATACAATGGATTCTAGTTCGGCTCCTGGGCACTATACCAGCTCCTTTACTGTTTGGGTTTCTCATTGACTTGTCATGTTCCGTCTGGGGATCAGGGCAGGCCGAATGCGCCAAGACTGGGGCCTGTCATCTGTATGATAATAAGAATATGAGCAGGTGGGTACTGGTATAATATAAGTTAATACCTAATAATCACTTTCCTTCGCAGTTTCTATTTAGTAAAAATTTCTGTGTTAAATACAAAAAACATACCAAAACGTTCAGGAATAATTCTAGGAAATTATTATAAATTATGTCGTTGTTTTCCAGGTATATGTTAGCATTAGCTTTCGCCGGTAAACTATGTTCACTTATCTTCTTCTTCCTCGCGTGGTGGTTCTACCGACCACCAGGCACGAAGAATGGCAACGCGGTGGGTCCATCCATTGACCTGGTACATAGCGAGAAGAGCAATGGTACCATACCCACAGTGGCTACAGTTAGTACTATTTCAAACGGTGTAGACAAAACGAATGGGTATTGTAACGCAGCATTGGAATGCAGTGATCATTTATAAAATAGTCGTTGAACATAATTGATTGCTTTAAAGGAGTTAATTGACATAAATTTTCCAGAATTTGTAGGCCCCGCATAGGTCTAACAAGATTAGGGAGTTTTTTGATTATTTGTACTAAGATTACAGATCACATGATGAAATAGATTAAGATTTTTCTTTAATATAAGTATAAATTATTTAATGGTTATATAACTCTTTATGAAAGTGGTATAAGAAAAGAATATGTCTTCATGAGCTACTTTTGAAACATTTCAATCGCTGCCAGATATGTTAAGATAAAAGTGGTTAGTGCAATTTTGTACAATAATATTAGTGTAAGTAGTCATTAGTATCCTATTATCAACAAGTGACCAATTTTGGACAGTATTCAATATTACAATGTTCATAAGTATGGTTTTATGTTTATGGTAACTTAAATATTTTATAATTATAAAGACTGTTTTGACCTACTAAAAAACAAAATTCTTCACATGAAATTTAGTTTATTTAATTATTTCAATAATTTTTATATTACTGCCGATTTGAAAGAAAATCTTAATTTTTACAACCAAACTGAGAAAATTGAAAGTAGAAAGACATTTATTCTAAATGAAACATGTAAGTACAATAAAAGCAAGCTATATTTTTGTTATATAATTTAAGTATGTTTTTCACATTTTAGATATTTGTTATTTTTGTATATTGTATTTTGGTTGAAGACTGATTCTTAACTTAGTTATAACTTAGCATTAGAGTTCGCATAATAAAATAATGGAAAATAAAAAGTTCCATATTATTTTAGCACAAAACGCTAAATGAAATCGTAATAACAAAACATATACATTCCAGGTTTAAACCGTTTTATACATTTTCGTAATGTTTGTATAATTAGATAAGTCATTTTGAGATGTACAATTTTACAGTTATGATTATTAAAAATTGTATAAAATGTGATTTTTATTTATTTCTATCTGCTAATAAAACAACCTTAAAATCTCAGGCAATATATTTCAACATATAAAATGATCACAACTTAACAAAATGCAACATTTCCATACTTAGTTTACAAGTTAAAATATATAATAGCAATCACATCAACTAGAAGAACTTAACTCCTTGGTTATCATCAAATTCCATTAATTCACATTTTCCTTTCACTTCCAAGCTTTTCAATGCTTTAGTCAATATGTTTATATCCAATCCATGGAACTCTAAAATATTAAATTGTAATAATTACAAGTCATTAGCCTCAGTGACTAAAGTGCCTAGAAGTGATATGATGATGACTGAGCGCAATTTCTAATGAAACAATAATAATTTTCAGTTGGTCCTAGTTAGCATAAACAATATATGATAAATAAACCAGGAAAAATATTTCTATATTTGGATTTAATATCATGTATTATTATTAATTAGTAACAAAATATTTGTTGCAGTATCAGCAGGAGGCTACAACTTTTATCCAGAACTCAAGATAACTCTTATCACTAAGGCAGCATTACTAAGAAACATTTTCTTTCAACTGTTTTTTCTCTGACTTACTTTGAAAATCTGACTACCTAAAGACTTTAGGTATTTTAATTTCTCTCTATCTTTTATAAAATAAATTATAAATAGGTTCAGTAGATTTAGAGATAACCCCAGATAATCTCAGAAACTTTACCACTTTATAATATGAGTTATATAGTTATCAGTATATATAGTTAATTTATATTTATATCTGTATTTACCTTCTCCTTCTGTGGTTTCCCCTTCTCTTAGCTCAAAAAGTGTACATACAGAGTTATTTAAACCATTTGCACTAACCCAGTTATAAATCATATTACCCCATTCATCTAATGAATGCCAATACACTTCCCATACTGTCTTTGTCTTATCAGTTGGAGCAGCCCGTCCACACCTGGCCATATCTTCTAAAATAGTCAAAACAGCATCTTGCGAGAGTTTTCTATTGATTGCTGGATTGCTAAACAATGGTGTATTTTGTGATTCTCTTACATCAATAATGTGTTGTTTGGAAGATACTAAATATTGAACAATTAGTTCTTCCCAAGCTGCTAACTGTTTCTGCCTGGTCTCTGAGTGAGGTTGGATTCTGAAACAGCAGGCATTAAATTAATGTTGCTGTTTGGAAGAATAAGATAAATAATATATTTCTCCTTCAAATGAGTTAAGCAAAATAAATTGTTGTGATTTTCTTGATTTTATGAGCAATCTGCAATTGCATCTTTATTGTTTTGCTTATTTATTAGTTGTTTCAGTTTTTTCTCTGTATCCTTCCTTTTGATAATACTTTTCACTGTTTTAGGCTCCAAATCAGTGACTGCTATTCTGTATGACATTTTTTTGTCTCCAAATTGTATGATTGGGTACCCTTCACAGTTTTGTTCAGTAAATGTTATCATGACTGAACAATCTTTGGCTACAGCAGATATTAAAGCTAAGTGAAGAGGGTCAACACTATCAATAAATTGTTTTCTATCTATAGAATTACTTAGATTTAAATTGTTGTCCTTTACTTTTTTTACTAAGTCAGCAATATTGATCTCATTTATAGCTGTATTATCAATATTTATGTTGTTGGAAAGTGACTGTATTTCAACAAGATTATACAGAAATGAATTTTTAGGTAACTCTTGCTTTTTGTTGCATTTATATGATGTTTCTGGGACAACAACAGCAGTTTCTTTCAACTCTATATCTGAGTTCCCATCACTTAATAGTATGTTAATAATTAAGTCAAAAAAAACATTGGTAGAATTTAAAATTGTCATACTTATTATCCGTTCAAATTCTATACTTGAATTTTCATTATAGATGATTTCACTATTTTTAAACATTTTGAAGTTATTTTGCGGATTCTCAACTAAGTTTGCCAATGCCAACTTCATTCTTTGTCTATCACCTGAATACAGATTCAAAGGACAGTATTTACTTATCTTATCAATTTGTTTTTCACATAGTTTAAGAGATTGTTTCATACAATAATAACATCTAGAATACTCTTCTAAAGTTTTGGCTAAAAATCCTTCTTTTGTTTTAATTTCTACACAATAATTGGTAATGGTAGGCTCCAATATTGTCAAATTAGGAGCACTCAGAGCAAACTGGCTTATGGAACTTTTATGTATTCTGTTCTTTGGTCTAATTTGAAGAAGGGTTATAGGCAGTTCTTTAATTTCATTATTAGACAAACATACTATTTCTTCTTTATAAGCATAACCTTTACACACCAAAGGCAACATTAAAATATTAACAAACTCAATAGAGTTAATAAATGACTTTACATCTACGTTCCTTCGTTCGCCTTTAATAAGTCGAACAACTTTACATGTACCCAATATTTGCAACACAATATGTACATTTCCTTCATTAATGTATTTCCATTGTTCATTATTTAATGTGTTCATTGTAAAACAATTCTCTGCGAACCACTTAAGTATAAACTTCTACACAAATATGTACTCACGTAAAGAAAGGTGGAAAATTATATTGCCATGGCCAAGCAATTTCTGCCATCCTTTTAATTGAAAATATAAAATATTTATTGATTCTAAATAGTTCCCCTTAACCAAGTGACAACTGGCTTTGTTTATGGCTTGTAGATGTTCTCAAAAATCACGTTCCAACTTCCAGACTCAAGTTTTCTAGTAATTTATTTTATTAATTAGTTCTAATTAAAATTTTTAGAGAAACAAATTTTGAAATACCATAACAATTGACATTAAGTGACAATGATGTGTCAAAGCTATTTGTCTAGTTTCTTTGACTTTTTGCTAACATTATATTATACTTCTGTCAGACTGTAATTTTAGGAATCTTTTATGGTTTGTCAATCAAAGGAAAATTTTATACTAAAGAAAAGCCAGTTTATAATTACTAAAGCAAGAGTTACGTGTATTACCTATATACATACAACTTAATTAATATAAAGCTTAGACAATTTCAAGTTGTAACTGATGACAACTGTCAACGTCAGTCACATAATAAATGTGAATTATAGAAGTCGTAAGCCAAAGGATTGCAATGAAAATCCAAATCGTGAAGAATGGAAGAAATAACTTCAAGCTCTATTTACCCTAACATTATAGTTGCTTGGTTTATGGAAAAAAATAAATAAAATATTAATGTATGTTGTGAATTTAGTATAATTAAAAATCAATTTTAGGCACAATGATTACGCTTAATAAAAAAATCAAGAAGCAAGGTCCAGAAACCACGAACGGGGTTACAAGTGAAGCAGGCAAAAGAATCTCTATAAGAGATAAATTGCTGATAAAAGAGGTTCAGGAGATGAATGAAAACCTTCCCACGACTTGCTCCGTGGACTTCGAGGACCCTAATGTTTTGAATGAATTTATATTAACGGTGGAGCCCGATGAGGGCTACTGGGAAAGTGGAAAATTTAAGTTCAGTGTGTTTGTTACAGAGGATTATAATATGGCGGTAAATATTCTAATCTATATTAACATGGAAGCTCCTATTGAAGCGGAAGAAATACAATCTTGGGAGATCTTGTGTCATGATCTGTGTGGCCTATTTTTTTAGATACAACATATATAGGGAATAGACATATCTACATCTATTTCACTGATTAATATTGTTTTACCTATAATACTGCCATCTTAATATATAACATTAAATTATTGTTTGTTCTATCCTTCTTCAGCCACCAAAAGTAAAATGTTTGACGCGTCTCTGGCATCCAAATATTAATGTAGATGGTGATATCTGTCTCTCTCTACTTAGACAAACATCTATAGATGAGCATGGTTGGGCACCTACAAGGAGATTAAAGGATGTGGTGTGGGGACTTAATTCACTATTTACTGTAAGTGAAGTAATAGCTTAAAACAAAAGCAAATGAAAATTTTTGTAATTTAAATATTAAATTATATTAATATTTATTCAAAATCTAAATATGTCGTTACAATGCATGTAATATATAAAAACTCTATACAGACATATTTGCATAGGGCAAGATTGAAAAATAATTTTGTATATTAATGAAACCTGGATTAATTGGTGTTAAATTACGTTAGTTTAGTGTTAGTACTGTTTAGAATGGCAGTGGCACTTAATGATGTGTCTATTTTCACTTGCATGTGGCAAGGCAAAAAAAAACAATTGGAAATAATCACTGAGGGTATGATTCAGAGTCAAGACTTAATGGTAATTAAAGCTTCCATATGTCAAATCAAATATTGTTGATTGATAGGAGACACATTTTGCCCTGCTGCTTGAGCCCTGATTTTGAATTTTGAAACCACAAGAGTTCACAATAACTCAATATACTACATATATAAGTGTCCTATTTTTATTTACTATATATAATAGTTTTTTACATTTTGATGAGATTGTTACTATAGTTATTTTTACCCAAGATCAAAAGACTTACCAATCTCCTTACTTGATGATTGAAGCCAACTTATTTCGGTTTATAAATTTTTTACATTATAAATCAATTTCTCATTTCTTTTATTAATGACAATTACAAGACAGCCTTTTTAAAGTCCTGAAAAACAATTGTATGTTTCATGATCTTTTTAATGGCAAGCCATTTAACAACCTTTTGTACCTATCAGTGCAAGATGATTTCACCCAGAATATAAACTCAGGACCTCCACAATACAACTTGTCTTGAATTTATTTAGAACAAAGCTTCATATTTAAAAAAAGCCTTGTATTGTGTCCTATATAGCATTGTATAGTAGTTACAATAATTTTTTCTTAATTGATGTTAGTATGAGAACCCTGTTTCGAGTTGGAAGCCTCTTAGACAATGATAGATTTTCCCTTGATTTTGCCTCTTCTATCTTGAGTATGGCCTCTATGGTGTTCTTTTACACCCAACGGGAGTTCACTTTATTGTTCAACTCACCCACTGTTGGTTCTTGAGGCATGTCAGATGCCCGTCCCATCCTCAAGCTTAGCAAGAGCAGCAGCCCATCCCTAGCTTTTGTGATATGCCTGATTTTAATGTTTAATTTTGTTATACTTTTTATTTCAGGATCTTCTTAATTTTGATGATCCTCTCAATTTAGAGGCAGCAGAAATGTACAAAAAAGACAAAGTTGAATTCCAAGGTAAAGTGCAAGAATACATATCAGTGAATAAGGGGAAAAGATGAGACATAGCTTGCCTCAGTTGTTGTAATAATAACAATTAGGACTGGAATACTCAACGTGATATCCTTGTGTAATGTGCTAGTGCTTGTACAATGAACATACCTGTTTTAAATGGAAAATTTTAATGTGCTATGAATTTGGTATATTTCTTTTTTAGTTATGTATTTCTGTTTAAGCTCATATTAGTGTAAAAATTTAATGAAATAAATAGAATTCTTTAATGGATATTTTACTTAATTTATTTTATTTATTAACACTGTTACTTTAAACATACATATAAAAAAAATTGGTTATAGAAGTTATTAGGCAACAGGCGGTCTGTTCGCTATCAAGCAATTTCTTCCAGGCAAAATGGTATGAATGGTAAAATAAAAATAGACACATACAGAGTGTTTATTTAATTATGTATTTGTAACCTTATAAGATTTAGTCAGCGAGAGGGGTAGACTAGGAGAAGGTTGGTTAAGAAGAAGTAAAAATAAAAACACAATTTGAAGTAATATTTTATTTGGCTTCAATAATACTGAAGTAACCAATTGTATAAATAAATAGAAAAGTGTACAATAAACTTAACAATTATATCGTAACAATAGCTTGACTAGAGCGAGTGGTGGTCACTTGTAATACAAAGTGAGAACAGTCAAAATAATTAAAATAAAGATGATAATTGACTATACTAGACATGTTATGTGGCATTCGCTTTAAAAGATTATAAATCTATTTACATTTTTAAAAAACGTAAATTTTACTTAAAACTAAAACAAGAAAGTGATAATAGTTGTCTTATTTTAAATGTCAGTCAAATTTACCACCAATTTGTATTTTGAAAAACGGTTTAATTTTAATTGTCTGTGAAGTGAGCATGTTAATGAGTGTTGCCATCTCTTACGCGTTGGTAAAAAAGAAAGTCTTTCAGTTGTTGGCAACATATTTATGGAGCAGTGAAGTTAGTCATGAGTTCGTCCTGTATGCTGTTGGAGCGCGCCAGCATTCGCGGCGACAGACCGGGAAAAGCCGACGCTACGCTGTCCGCTTCAGACGCTTCTGCTGATTTTCGACTGTGGTATTCTTCAGAAAATTCCTGCAATAAAAATAATGTGCTAAATATTTTTTGAGGAAATAAAATGTAATATGTTCATTACATATCTTTCTGAAACACTTATAATTTATTTTGGACTACAGCGTTTCTAACTACAGTGTAAACGCTTTTTATAACGAATGTCAAGGGACCGAGCATTTTCTTATGTTATAGAGAGATTTCGTTTAATGGAGTGAATAGTAAAATTAGTAATTTAACTATCAATAGGTAAATTATTCTAAACACAACGCTTTTCTTTCACTGGCCATCGTGAATTTTTCAAAGTTTGTTTACGACTGATAGTTCACGATAGGTGCACGGTGGTGCGTCCACGTTAGTAACTGAGACGAAAACTTCCTACGCAATGTTATCTAAGAATAATGGCACACGTGATAATGCAATTAACAATAACAAAGGCGAGACGGCTGTTTATGACCTCAGGTGTCTTTCTTAGAAATTTCGGCACCTCAACAGTTTAGTTTTGTAAGCTGATTATAAAAACAATTACATTATTTTAATTTCTTCGTTATAGAGAACAGCTGTAGCGTTATAAAAAGTGATCTAATGTATGAGTGTGTTAAACCAAACAAATATAACAATTTTTACGTTATAGAGAAGTTTTGTTATAACGAACGACGTTATAAAGAATTAATACTGTATTTTACATAATCTATTAAATTGAATAAAAATAATTTAACCTGACAAAGTTGTTTTTAACTTTTTTTAGACTAACCTTAAGCCGATTTCCAAGGAAGACGGCTCGTTCCCTCTTCCTAAGCATGAAGTCAGTATTGTGGAGCCAGCGATGTTCGTAGCACTCTTCTGCCGTCGGTCGTTTGAGAGGCGTCTTCTTGAATATGAACATCAGGAAACGAGTGGCTTCCTTTAATAAAAAAAAACTCGTTTCAATCCGATTAATCCAGTCAAGTTTTTTTTAAACATTAACGTCACCACTATTAAAAATATTATTCAATAAAATAGTATCGAAAATTGTACATATTTAGTTTTATGGTCATTTGTTAATCTAATCGGCAAGTAGGTGATCAGCCTCCTTTGCCTGACGCACGCCGTCGACTTTTAGGGTCTAACATATGCCGGTTTCCTCACGATGTTTTCCTTCACCGTTTGAGCGAATGTTATATGCGCACATAGAAAGAAAGTCCATTGGTGCACAGCCGGTGATCGAACCTACGACCTCAGGGATGAGAGTCGCACGCCGAAGCCACTAGGCCAACACTGCTCATAATATTTGTAATAATGTTTGTGTAAAGGTAATCGAGTATTTTGTTCTTCAAAAACCCATACCTGTGTAATTTCCTTATATAGATGTTCGAAGCGATATCTCACGAAGGAGATGTTCTGTTTCGTCTCTGCGTCGTCTGATCCGCGGAAGGGAGACACTCCCGAAAGTAAAATGTATGCTAATACGCCCACAGACCATATGTCCGTTTGGGGATATGCTGCTTCGTCGTTTATTACTTCCGGGGCTGTAAGAGTAATAGCAGGAAATCTAGTAAATATAGGTAATAAATAAAAAAATACTTTTGTGTTACCTTACATGAAATTAATTTATAATTTAAATTGTTATTATATTGCTACTGAATCTGAAATACATGTTTTTATGTACGTATTTATCACTCAGTTAACTGATCCTCTTTTAATATTAAGCATTTTATTCGGTAATAAATCGAGTTCAGCCTAGAAAGGAATTCAAACAAATCATTTGTTTCATTAAGATTACTTTGATTAACTTTGGTTTGTTAAGGAAGAGCTGGGAACCCTGACACAGGTATATCTTATCTTCACACATTGTAGTGCATATCTACTTGAAATGAATAAAGACATTTTTATTTTATAATTTTTATTATCTAATATATAAAATTCTCGTGTCACAATGTTCGTTCCCATACTCCTCGGAAACAGCTTGACCGATTCTCATGAAATTTTGTGTGCATATTGGGTATGTCTGAGAATCGGACAACATCTATTTTTCATCCCACTAAATGTTAAGGGTAGTCCACCCCTAAATATTTTTTTTTATTTTTAGATATTTTTTTCTGTTTTTATGATACAGCATTAAAAAATACATACAAACCCCTAACTTTCACCCCTCTACGATCAACCCCTATTTTTTTATTATAAATGATATATATGGCAAAACGACGTTTGCCCGGTCAGCTAGTCTAATATATAAAATTCTCGTGTCACAATGTTCGTTCCCATACTCCTCGGAAACGGCTTGACCGATTGTTATGAAATTTTTTATGCATATTCAGTAACTCTGAGAATCGGCTACTATCTATCTTTCAAACCCCTGAGTGGTAAGTGGTGTCCACCGCAAATTTTTATTTTTTAGAATATTTTTATTTTTTTTACAAAAATACATACAACCCCCAATTTTCACCCCTCTACGATCAAACCCTATTTTTTATTTTTGTAGATAGTTATTTTTATTGAACTAAAAAAATGTTTCCTAGAAATAATATTGGTACATGGCAAAACAAGGTTTGCCGGGTCACCTAGTTGTTATATATTATAACATATTGTATATATAATAAGGCTTAAAGTATCAGAAGAAAATGTTTAGCCAATGCACAATTAACACAGTTATCTATAGTACAATATCAAAATCTCACCTTTATAATCTAATTCTCCAACTTGCGGCACAATCGTTCCAAGCTTGGTGACCTTATGAGCGGAACCGAAGTCCACCAGTTTAACCTGTACCGATCGTACAGAAGCCAGCACCACATTGTCAGGCTGCAGGTCGAGGTGGCAATATCCCCGCCAGTGCAGGTATTGCAGGCCATCGAGGACCTGCGTGATAATGGTTGCCACTACCTGCTCGGAATAATCGTGTCTACTCGACAGGTACGTCAAAATGTCTGCTCCTTGAAGCTTCTCCAGCACTAAAGCCGCGACGGGAGATCCCGGAGTCTGATAAGCGGCGAATAAGTTCGATATCCTCTCGTGTCTCAGTCGCCTCAAACATTCGAACTCCCTCTGAACCTGGACTTCCGTTTCCGGCCGACATTCCAGAATCTTCGCGACCACCACGCTGTCTGTCGTCTTGTCTATCCCCTTGACGACGATAGAAAACTTCCCACGCCATAGTTCAGACACGAAGCTGTATCGTTCGGTGAACTGGTCGGTCGTTCCCCATTCGGGAGACTTTTCCTCGGTCGCGTAGTCCAATTTCGGCCTGTCCTCGTCTAAAACTATCTCCTGTCCGGATTCAGTCATCTGCTGCAAGTGTTTCATCGCTTTCGTAACTTGAATTTTGGGAGCTCCAGCTTCCAAAGTTTTCACCAAGTTGGTTGGGATTCCTTTCTCGCTCCATCCGATTCTGTTGCGGGAAGATAGCCTGAATTGATAACTCGTTTGCGGGACCAGGTCTCTGATGACAAAGAATTCGTGGTCGATGTTTTCCGCTACCGTTTTCCACTCGACACTATCGCCTTCTTTGAACTGAAGGCTGTAACAGACGACGGGGGAGTTTCCGTCGTACTTCGGTTGCTTCCACCTGAGAAGTACTTCTGTGTCTGATACTTCAGAGGCTGCGGGGCTATCGGGAGCGTTGGGAGTGGTGGCTTCAACAATTCTGGTCCTGGCCACAGTTTGTCCTACTTTATTCCTCGCTACGACTTTGTAGAAGCCGATGTCGTGATGCATGGCCGGGTCGAAATTGAGGGTGGACCGCCCTTGGTCGTCTTCGATGATCTTGATGCGCTGACCTTCGGCTATGACCATATCATTCTTGAACCATTGGATGACTGGTTTGGGGTCACCTACGGCGTAGCAGGACAGTTGAGCGGGTTCTCCCTCCCTAACGGGGAGGATTTGAGGTTTTTCTCTGAAGAAGGGCAGATGTCCATCTTTCTTCGATTCCATGAAAGCCTGAGCTTCCGCGTAGCTGTCCAGACGTGTTCCAAGCTCGTGCCTCAGTCTGCGGATTGTGTAGCTTTCAGAGCCATATTGGTTGATTCTTTCTTTTCTTTCGTCGTCAATCTCTTCGTCCATCACGTCCGTAAAGCGACGTCTTTCGCGGATAATAGGTGTCTAGAAATAATAGCAGTACTTTATTCACACAAACACGAATAATTATAAAAGTTAATAAATAGCAAGAAAACGAAAAATATGTATTTGGTTTTATAGACCACAAGCCCATGAACAAAAAATACCTGTGAAATGACCCAACGTGAATTACGTTTAGAATGCTGTTACTATATCTGATAATAGCTCTGAGCACTATGCCGTCATTTCTGAGCGGTACATGTGAGTACGTGAGTGAATGGAATTTCTCAGATACGAAGGAGAAATTTCGACTAATTATTTATGTACGGCTTTGTTATAAGTGTATAGATGATTAAAAATAAATGTCGAAAAACCTAGTGCCGTACTAAAGTGATGGTGCCGGAAGTCGGTGCAAATTTTTAATTCGACGATAGTTGCAGGAGCAATATAGGTCATTTATTACTGTACGGCATTTGTGTAATTCCTTTTGGACACATATACAGATACTTTACCCGTAAACGCCGTACATATTTCCAGCGGAGCGGTCGAAAGCCAAGGGTCATAAATTGGAATATTTTTTGTTCATGGGCTTGTGGTCTATTGCCCAAACCGAGTAGAATTGGAAGAGAAAAAATCCATAATAGTGAACTGAATAAATGAACATTTTGATACCAGTTTATCTTGATTATTATGTTTGAAAGTATAACTAACCCGTGGGTCATAAGAGTCGTGTACGCTAAGGTTGTACGCTGGCGAGCGATGGCAAGCCACCTTCATGTATTCCCGGAGACGAACTGGGAACTGCGTGTCTCGGAGCTGCAGTAGGTACGTGTCTGGACCGTTTTGGTAGCTGTAATAAATTAATGCGATAAGCAAAACTTGGGAGAGTAACAAGTTCCCCGCTAACTTTGCTTTGAATGAAATACTTGAAATATGAAAATAAAAATTTGAATAAAGTTTCATTTAAAAAACCATCTGCTTTGCAAGCGAAACCCGTTCTCAAAACATTTAGTTAATTTGTATATTCTTTAGAAGCCAGAACTACTCTAAAATTTGAAATAAAGGGACCGATTATAACCCCAATAACCAAAATGTTTAACATAATATGACAAACATTTTAACCTAAGTTAGCATCAAAATGACTTACTGGCTCTCAGATGTGGCTGACACCTCCCAATCTGGGTGGTCCCACTGCTTGAATTTCAGGTCCCAAGGCGATGATTTCCTTTCACGAGAGGACCTGTCACGATCCGGGGTTCCCTCGGGCGTGTACAGTTGCCCTGGTGGGTAAACCATTCTAGAGGGATGGTCGAAGGCGCCCTCTAGTGGCCTACGACGGAACCAAGTACGGCATGACGCGTTGCTCATCCAGTCTCTGGAAATATTAATGTTTTTTAAATATTTTATTAGAAAACAATTAATTCAACAGGTTTAAAGTATGTTTCGAATTAAGTTGCAGAACTGCTACGAGCGGTTATTTTTTATACAACAGGGAACAACTCAGGAGGCTGGCTCATGGGCACGCTCAATGCCATTGGTACTTCTTTGTACGTCCGGAGATGATTGTATTTCTAAAATACGAATACATAAGTGTAAGCTGTCTATCTATAGTGCAGGAGAAAATTTAAACGTAGTCCTACAAAATTCATAACCATGAAGAGCCAAAAAACACCAAAAAATCTATGTTATTTAAAAGAAGTAGGCTCACAGCGCAGCACTATGTGGAACCAGCTTCCCACTGAAGTATTTTCGAACCAAAAGTATCAATTATTAAATGATCGGAAAGCACTTGCGAGCACTTCCATGGGCGGCGGTTGATGAAGATTTATCCTCACTAAAACTTTAAAGATTTTAATTTTTAACTGCTGTTTGTAGAGAACAAACCTGTATGAGTTGTAATAACTCCTCAGTCGGTCCGTGGTGATAATATACTCGTCCTTGTAAATCTTATCGGCGAACGAGAGCCAAGGGTGCGCAAGCGCAGAATCCACGTCAAGCCTGTTACGCCAGTCCAGTACTAATAGCTTGGAGATGAAGTCTCGGGACTCCAGGCTGAAGCGGGACCACCATTCTTCGTCGAACCTAATTTTTAAATAATTATTATGAATAAACAAGTAATAATAAAAAGTAGTCAGGAAAAGCGATTTTACAGCTAAGAGCAGTATCTTTTTTTAATAAAAAGGAATATTCTAAAATTAACTGAAGACGCTCGCTTAAATTTATTTTTAAATATTAATAAATTTTGTCAGTTTAACTAATACAAAAATATAGCTTTTGCTACTTAGGGGCCTTTCAAGTATTACGTAAGCACTAAGCTGATTTACTGAAATTTATAACACCCCCCCCATCCTCTTGTCAGCAAAAGTAAGCAAAGCTCTGAAAAATGATAGTACATAAAAGTATTTCGTTTTCAAGCATAGACGATGTGTGGGTAATATGTATAAAAAAGTAAATTATTACTGTTGACGTAATCACCAAATAAGAAAATCAAAGACCCCCCCTCCCACCTTTAGTGCTTACGTAATACTTAAACAGCCCCTAACATTGCTTTCTTATGGTGAAGGGCCTCGTAGCCTAGCAGTCTTTTTAGGGTATCGGGTTCGATTCCCCATCAGAGTGCAAGTTTATTTAACTTTTAATTTGTTTTCTACCTTCGGATTGTGCATTATCGGGCGAGTGCTTAAACCGTACATGACGAGCATGGTCAAATTTCTAAAACATGCTGAGGGCATCAATTCTTAAAAAGGAGATAGTGAGGTTTAGATGTAGACAAGTGGTTGGGAATTGAAGATTTAGTGGGTAGGGTACCCCTCTGGATAGAGGCTTTGAGTGAAGACTCAGCCCCACAATACCCGCGTCAAGCTCGACATATATGGCGCGGGCCTGCGTATGCGTATTTCACTTCATTAAAAAATCAGAAAGAATTTCGGAAATTAGCCTAGTGGTTTTTGAATTTATTCGTTACAAACATACAAATCTTTTCTCTCTATAATAATACTGTAGATTCTGGTTTAGTATAACTCACCATTCCCACTGTCCCTCTCTTACTCTAGAGAGTGTCTCTCTGTCGTTAAGCCCTCTGAATGGCGATCTCCCACTCAGGAGAATATAGGTGATGATTCCTACACTCCACATGTCAGCTCCGAAGGCCACGCCCTCTCCCTTAGCGACCTCTGGGGCCACGAATTCGGGCATTCCGTAGTTCAATGCGGCGTGTTGGTTCAAGTGAATGCGACGGGACAGTCCGAAATCACAGATCTTTAGTTCATCGGAACCTACGTGGGAGAGTAGGAGTTCTCCAATCTGAGCGGAAAAATTAACCAATTTAGAATAATTAAATTAGGTTATTTAACTCATATTCTTGGAATTTTCTTTCTTAAATAAATAAATAAATTCTTATACAGCGCAAGCAACTAAAATGTAATCGAATAATTAAAAAATCTTAATATATATATTTCTTCTGTGCGTGTGTATGTGACTGAACTCCTCTCAAACGACTGGACCGATTTTGATGAAATTTTTTGTGTGTGTTCAAGGGGATCTGGGAATGGTTTAGATTCACAAATCAGCCCGGCAGATGGCACTGCAGTCGGTACTTTCATACTTTGCTTAATATCCTAATCGCTTTAAATATCATGCAGGACAACGTCTGTGGGGTCCACTAGTATAAACATAAATAGTAACTTTATCATTAATAAATAATGATTACCTGTCAGGCACCTTGCCTTAAGATATATATTAAGCTAAAATTTACATACATACAGTGTACATAATATTAAAAATTTAAAAAACAATTGAAACCTTACACCCTTATTTATAGAAAATAAATCAGTCTAAAAACAGGATTTCGAGTAAACTATCTATCTCTTTTCATCACAGCGTCTACACAGTTTGACAGAAAGAGACAGAAGAGTACTATAGTCAAAGGAGTATATTGGACATACTAAGTTGTTATGAATAATTGAATCATGCAATAATCTAACCGTAAGTCCGAGATGAGCAATGCTATTATCGTGCATATGTTTCAATCCACGAAGCAATTGTCGGACGTATCCCGCGATGTCACGCTCCGTGTACCCTTGACTGCGCAGGAGTCGATCTCTAAAATATACACAACATTAATAGATGCATTTTTAACTGTTAATCACCAAACATTTGTAAATTTTACTTAATTTCTTAAATCTATATATATAATTTTTTTAATGATTTTTTATTTTGCTCTGCTATTAAATTGATACTTTACCGTGAGTTTACGTAAATATTGTTAGTTATAGAGACTGGTTAGCTAGCATTTTAATTATTAATTGATCACAAGACTTATAACGTACGTTGTAACGATGTGTACGGCAAAAACTTTCTTTTATTTTCCCCAATGTTAAAATTCAATAAATTCAAAATCATTTATTCATATGGGTAACACAATGTACACTTATGAACGTCAAAAAAGAAATATACATTTACTGCCAGTTTTCAAAGCAAAGGCGTAGAACGGAAAAGAAGAACTGGCAATAAACTCTCCGGCACTCTTTAATCTCCAAGTTTTTTGTTTTAATTACATTGGTAGGCGGCTTTACTATCCTCATGGCCCCAAATACCTGTATTAGTTTTAGTTTAAAACGTGATAAATAAAGATGTAAGGGAGTGTTCAAGTATTACGTCACGCAATTTTTGGAGATTTTTGACCCCCCACCCCCATGTAACGCGCCGTATCGTATTTCTGTACCCAAGTACAGTACTGTACCGAAGTATATTAAACGTTTCGCGATCACCCAGTGGCTCTTTATACCTAAAAGTTACCATTATGTGGTGTAAAGTATTGGAAAGTTGATAATAATATTAACAATAACGCGTAATTCATCCCCGCCCCGCATCGTAACGTTTTACAAAAGGACTCCCCCCCCCCAAAATTCGTAACGCAATACTTGAACGCTCCCTAATTCATAAACTTAATTCATTCGAAAACGACCTCAATAATAATTACCTAACAAGCTCTCCCCCCGAAGCGAGCTCCATGACGAGCGCGAGCGTGTGGTCGTGTTCGTACGCATCGTGCAAACGCACAAGATGTCGGTCGTTCAGCAGATTCATGATTTCCAGCTCGTTCTTCATGAAGGGCTTCAGATCCGAGTGGCCGTGCATTATCTTCGCCGCGTAGTTGCGACCTGGAATATTTTTATTAGTATTGCTTAGATCGTCTACTCTATCTTTATGCTAGAATTAATTTATGTGATTAAATTGCGTATTAAAATAAATGAAGTCAAAAAACTCTGTTCAAGAATCGGTAAATTTTCAGTAACAAAAAATATCAACTATTTAGAATATGATAGTATTGTGTTACTATATCTAAAAACAAATATAATGAAAATATTTAATTAAAATATGTACGTTTTTTAAAGACAAATGTCACAAATATTATTTAGTCTTTACATGGTTACATAAAAAGTTACTAAGTTTTTTACTTTTCTTATTATTTACAAAGTACAAAACAAATATACCAGATAATCTTTCAGCCGCGTGATAAACAACTCCTTGAACGCCTCTGCCCAATTCATCTCCGATGTCATAGAAGTCTCCAAATGGCTTCGAGCTTGGCTTAATACGGGGTGGGTTTTCACGAACTCTGGAATTATCAAAAAACCCTTCAAAACTCGACTAAAAAAATCTAAAGTAAACAATATGTGACATTAAATTTTTCTATTGTTTTAAAAATTAATATAAAGTTAGATTTTCTGAGTTAGTACTAGTATTGCGATGGGCAGGAATGACTACGTAATATTTTTGATCCTCTGACGTATTTAACTAAATAATTTTCATAAAACGAAAAGTATACGAAACGTATTAATAAATAAATATATAAGAAACGTATTCTACAAGAATACAAAATTTTTGGTGGTCTTCTAAAAGTATTTTATCTTTCTGAAATACTTAAGTTTTTAATATAGACATATTTTAATCTCTTAAATATGTATTAGAAAAAATTTATTATCTTAAATACACAATTTAAACTATCGTCGCTGCAGAATGATAACCTCGTATGTCCAGAGAACTAAACATTACAGAAAACGAAAAAATGTTTAATTTCGTCAATATTCGTTAAATTATTATTACGTGTTTTTGTCCATAGTTTTAGATGGTAAAAAGGACTTATTTATTAATAACATAAATAAGTCCTTACGTCATGATTATACCATTTAAATGACATAAGAGTCTAAGAATAAAAAAAAACTACAGGAGTGCCGGCAGAAGTGAAAACTTGAATATTAACGTTGTGCATTTTTTTAAATATTTTGGAATGGTTAGGGAATAGTTTGCACGAATTGCTTTAATTATCAGTATAAAAGTACTATCTATCATTTATGTGGTAGAATAATATTTATTTTTTGCGCTATCGTACACAAACATGACAATTTAAATACGCTGCGCCAGCTGTCTACTCTCCATCCGTCTTACGAATTTTCGATCAGGTCACGTGTACTGACGCGAGTTTAACATTTTTTACCCATTCCAAAAAAAGTGTACAACGCCGCTAAAGAAGTTTTCACTTAAAAAAATGGTTTTTTGACATACGAGGTTATCTTTCTACAGTGATATAACATTATTCGCAATATTGACCTGGAAGAGTACTCGTGCTCGCACTCCTCGACGTGCAGCATGGCCGAGGAGCTGACGGCTCCTGCTGGGTTACGAGCCGACACCGAGTACAGGCCTTCGTCCTTCAGGATCACGTCGTGGATCACCAGCACCACGGTATCTGGCTCTTTGAAGTGCATCTAACAACGGAATCAATATGTCAATATTACAAAATTAAAAATATATCTGGCCATAATTTACTACCAATATTTTTATAGAAAACAGATCCAACTAATATTATAAAAATAATAATAAAGACGTACAGTCAACGTTTGATAACACGATCGTTGAAGTTTCTAAGCTGTCAAACTATTTTTCTTTATGAAGTTTAGATTTTAAATACAGTGTGTGTTTGCGTGTTGTTCCCACGAGAATGTAAGTGCGTGCTCCTATTTCACCATGCCTCCTGCTGATAGAGGACAAGTCTTTGTTTTTAATTTATGTTATTATTATTAATTACTTAAGATGTCATGTGCAACATGGTGTAATGGTTGCAGCTCCTTACGAACGTTGTGTAAAACAAACATGGCGATTAAAAAGAGTGGCGGAGAGTTTATTGCCAGTTCTTCTCTTCCGTTCTACGCCCTTGATTTGTGAACTGGCAGTAAATGTAAAATTAGAAGCATTAATATTTATTTCTTTAATGACGAATCACAAGTGTACATTGTGTTACCTACGTGAATAAATGATTTTTTGAATTTGAATTGAGTGTCAATAAGTTTTGCCTCTAAATAAAATATTACAGTTAATATGTTAAATTTTTCTTCAATATGAAATTAGCTTTTAGAAAATCTACCACTTGATCAACTTTGTTAGCAATTGTTTTATTTTAACATACAAACACCCACATAGGGCTCCTCCATAAGAGAATTTTATATAACGATTTACGCAATGAGGTTACCTTGATTCTACTAGAAGGCGCGGGCCCTCTTTTTTTCTTGGAGGCGGGGCCGCTTCCTTTCTTCTAGGGGCGGGGGCGCGATGCTTCTTCTGGGGGGCGGGCGCTGTGGCTTGGGTTACCTTGATTCTACTAGAAGGCGCGATAGGCTGCCAGTCCTTGTACCACTTGATTTCTGGGTAGGGCTGTCCCGTGACCCGCGCTTCAATGCGAGCTGTTTTACGGACCAGTACTACGCTCTCTTCAGGTCGACGTATGAACGTTGGGTACTCTGCCAACTCCAAACGCACACGTTGTCTTGCTTGACCGTGTTCGTTGGTTGCCACTGCCTCGTACCATCCTACGTCACGCTCTAACATTCTAAAACAAAAGTTGTTATTAGAATTCAACACAACACATATTCAGTCTTAATTTATTTGAATTATTTAGATTTTGTATCCTTGCGCACGGATTGTAGATGTCGCGCCTAAGTGATAAGGGGTGTCCAACCCAAAAAAAAATATTACTTAATAAAATTTCATTTTTATTTTATTATGATACAACATATAAAAATACATACAACCCCTCCCTAATTTTCACCCCTCTATGATCAACCCTTATTTTATTATTATAGTAGATAGTTATTTGTATTGAACTAAGAAAATGTTTCCTAGAAATAATATACATAGCAATACGACGTTTGCCAGGTCAGCTAGTTTTTTTATGAAAAATATTTATTTTTTTTTTTTTAAAGACAATTCACACCAATTGACCTAGTCCCATGCTAAGCTGGTGAAGCTTGTGTTATGGGTACTAGGCAAACGGATATACATACATATTATACATAGATAGACATATAAATACATATTTAAACACCCAAGACCTAAGCACAACATAAAATGCTCATCACATCGATGTTCGTCTCAGCCGGGGATCGAACCCGGGACCCATGGTTTCGAAGTCAGGGGTACTAACCACTAGACCAATGAGTCGTCAAAAATTTAAAATTATTCAAAGGAAAAGGCCATTAAAGAATCGACTTACTTATTAATGAAGAGCGCGGCCTGTCCGTTCCTTGTGTAACTCCAGTCATATCTTCCTCCGACTTCAATCGGCTCATCGTTGAAGTAATACGTCATCTTGGGTTTAGGGTAACCGTACACGAACCAGAACAAATTCACATTATGACCCTTGACTCCATACTGAGAGTCATACTCTTGACGAAGGAATTTCGGCGCCTGCGCATAACCATCGTGAGGTGGTCGCTCAATGTCAAAGTCTTTCGGGAAGTAGGGAGATGTTTCCGGACGGAAATCGATTCCTGGTTCCAAGTACGGGACGAATTTAGGCGGATCCGGTTCCAGCTTGGCCCGGTGTGTTATAGCATAGGGCGAAGGATCGCTGACGCCATACTTATTTTCCACGCGGACTCGGAATTTGTAGTCGCGGAATGGTTCCAAATTGCGAATGTCGCACACGCAAGAGCGTAAACCCGTGCGGGCTGTGAACCAATCGCCGTCTGGCACTTCGCACATTTCCACCTGGACACCATAATTTTTAGTTTAATATATAGAAGATAAACAATACCAGGAAAGATTTTTCATATTAAAATTTCATCTTTATAAGTATTTTTAAAATTTATCAGTGTCCAATATTTTACTGTAAAAATCCATTTTGATCTCTTTAGCAAAAATTTAACCATCTTGTATTATCTATTTCACATGCAAGTTTATCTCTCTATATTTTACTGAACATATTATGTTGATTAAAAAGATAGTAGGAGAGAAGACATTTCAAATTGAACTTAAGGATATGGAAAAAAGGCTATATTATAGTTAAAAAAATAGTTATAGCCAAAATCATACCTGGTACGTGACCGGGAACCTCGGGCGATGAGGGATCGAAGGTTTCCAGGAAAGCGTCAGATGCCGATCCGCCATCCGGGATATGATGGGCTTGTCCGCCAACGGCATTGGCACACCCGTCGCCTTCATCTTGTCGAACTCCGAGTACTGCTCGGATATCGGCTTCTTGCCCGATTGGGGTTCGAGAGCTGGATGAACACGGCATATTATTATATTTATCTACAGCTTGTTCTTCGACAAAGGCCTCCTCTAAACTTTTAAAATTTTGGCTTTCTCTAGCGGTTGAAAACAGATATATATTTTAACATTATTTACATAATGGATCAGAAACACTTTCTCTAGAGAATGTTGTTATTGTGAAAAAAAGAAACTTCGCGAAACGTGTTTCTAATGTTAGGAAATGTGAATCTCTTAATGTTGATTATTTAGTGAATGATTGCCGGCAAACAAAATTCTAAAAACTTCTTTTAGAAATTGTAATTATTTTCCCTACACAACACAATCCTAATGATTCCTCTGTCATCAACAAATAGAATAATATTTAAATTACATTTACGTCTAAACTACTACACGTAGCTTTGGTATAGCGATGTGACGAAATCCCAAAGATTATTTAGAACTTTTTTTTATACTCTACAAAGTTATAGAGTGAAATTTTGTATGCAAATATACAAAGCGAATTCGCGGGTAAAATACATAATTGTTTATTTTTCAACAATTGTTACTCATAAATAGCAATTAACTTAAGTTGCTGATAACATTACAAACCATGAAGTAGCCATTCAATTTATGTACCTAACAAATGTGTACCCACACGTGGGTACGCACAAATTTACTTTGAACTAATTTATCTTAAAAATTGAAAAATTATTAAAAAAAACTTACTGTCATACGTAAGTTGTGCAATACAGGACTCTTCTCCATGAGGGTTGAATATTCTGCATCGATAGGACCCGACGTCACTCGGATCGACTCCGCTGATGGTGAGGCGAAGGAGTCCCGTCGACTCCTTATCCATACGAATGCGCTCGCAGGGGAATAATTTCTCATCGTTTCGGAACCTAAAAAAAGTAGGGTAGATTTATTAATTTATTTATCATTATACCTATTTTGATGAATTTGTGATTTAAACAGACATAAACTTCTCGATTTAGCTATTTGTTTCCGAGATATTCGCGGACAAACATACACTAAGGAACGTACACGTATTCGGACTTATCCAACAATATCGCACACATTCTTCAGACACCAAAGTAAAATCCCTTAGTGTAATTTTGGTATTTGTGTACTCTTAGTTTATTTATACAGTTAAAGCAATAATAATAAAAAAGACAACCTCCTATTTTAAAATTAATTAAAATACCATTCGACATCCGGGTCAGGCGTGCCCGTAGCACAAGCCGTGAACTTGGCGCTGAGTCCTCTGAACACTTCCACGTCACCGATTTTCTTCAGGAAAGATGGCGGCTCCGCCTTTTCACGGCGAGATCTGAAAATTTTATGTAACACGTATTATACAACCATTAAAAACACATCGAATAAATATCAAATGTTGATTCAATAGTTTGTGTATATTTGGTAGGTTTTCAAAAAGGTCGAATTTTACACCCCTAAGTGATAAAAGTGGCCCATTTCAATTTTTTACTAACCCTTAATTTTTAATTAACAACCAACCCCCGGTATTAATAGCGATATTAGTACAGTAATAATCTTTATATCAACGATTTCCGGATAAGTAATTTAATTTAGTTATAATCTAAAATTCAATTCCATAAATAAAATAGTTAATTTATAAATAAATGCGAAAAGTCATTTAAATTTAAATAAAAATGTGTAAGATTTGGGAACACCTTTAAGTAAAAAAATACCTGTGTCAGGGATCCCAATTTAAAATGGTTTTATCTCAAAATATTTTTAATTGTTTAAACTATTCGAAACATAAGCCCTCACAATGGAAATTTACTAATAAAAGGTTCAAATGAATATTTTTTTAGAACGTATTGGATTTTCTATTTCAAGGAACACATTAAAAAAAAAGGGTGCGTGTACTTATGTACGCGCGTAAGAAGTTATACTTCTTTGGCATTATTAAAAATAGTTTGGCTTTGTTCCAGTTTTTGATGTTTCACAGCGATAAGATGAAAACTCTTTTTTTGTATTCAATTTAGTGCACTTACACTGATTCATCAATTGTTTTTTTTCTCTTGTCCTTATATTTGCTAGAGAAAAATTACATGTTTTGATTAAACAATGTGGTAATTTTTTTAATCAAAACATTACTCGATAATAATAATACAAACTGATAGTTAACCTCAATTGTAATGAAGCACTTAGGAAGGTTGATGAGCACAGTTTTTTCACAAATATTAATTAGCATTGGTTTAAATATTCAATTTAAATCACTTCTGATTATATATAATTTAAAAAGCATTGCTAAATTTCTTTGAAAAAATAATTAAAACTCCTTTATTTGTTTAAAAGGTAAATGACAAATGTCATTATGGTCATTCAAAATTCTTGGCATACGAACTTCACGCATATTCTATTTCTTTTTACTTGTAGATTGTCTTATTCCTATCTCGCTCGCGCACGCTATAATCACACTCCTAATTTTGTGTCACGGTGCGCGCGCATCGTAAAATTTCACTCTCATAAATTTTTCATAACGCGCCTAAGGGCGCTTTTAGTGTCACGCGGATTTGCTCACGCACGCGGGATTGGACCGCATGCGTAGCATCCGCAAAGAACAATTTCATATAGGTATCTATTGTAAAGCGTGATAAACGCACGCGGGACGCGGGGCGCTGTGCGGGGCGTCACCCCGGTGCGGGGTATCCGCATGCGTAAGCGCTGCCTACAACTTCAGTGCCCATTTTAGAGTCGAGCGGGGCGCACGCGCCGTATTGTACTACCGAAATGAAAATCGATACAGAACGAGTAATCATTGAAGTTCATCTGCGGCCCGTTTTGTGGGATAAACGCAATGAATTATACAAAAACAGGGACGCGAGGGAGGCTGCATGGAGAGATATTTTGAAGGAATTGGCACCTAACTACGAAAATTTGAGCGAAGAGGAAAGAAAAGAGGCGGGTATGTGTTTGGTTCATTATTTTATTTATACAAGCATCATTACTTTATTAATATAAAGGGATCAACATGTACTCTTGTCTTCTTGTTTCGTCGTTTGTAAAGTATGTAAGCGACACATATTCTTCTGACATTGATCATTTTTGAACACGTCTGTACCGTTACGCAGCCCGTAGAAAACTGAAACTCATGCTGCGTATGATCCGCAGCGTGAAATTTTACGCATGCGGTCCAATCCCGCGTGCGTGAGCAAATCCGCGTGACACTAAACGCGCCTAAAGAAGTATAACTTCAAAAATTTAATAAAACAATTACTTACATCTTATCAACCACCTCCAAAGCGGCCTCGCATTCAGCCTGACCTTCCTTATTTTTCGCGACACATTTGTATTGTCCTGCGTCCTGCTCATTTAGATCCCTAACATAGAGACAGCAAGCATCTCCATCTCTCTTCATCTGGTACTTGTTAGAAGGAGAGAGAGGGGCGCCATTTTTGTACCACGTCACTTCCGGGGCGGGTATTCCGGATATACGAGCTGGGAATTTAGCGTCGAATGATGGTAGCTAGAAGGTTATGAAAAAATGTTGTTAAGTTTTTAATAGAAATTATTATATATCATTAACTGAACCCTGAAACATTTGGCCACAATAGATTAAATACTTAAAGTATTAAAAAAAAATCAAATAAAAAACATATGTGTGTACTTATGTACACGCGTTAGAAGTTTTTCTTCTTGGCGTAACAAGTTTTTTTTTATGGCTCTGGCACGATTTGTGCATTAGCCAGCGTCAAGTATAGGATTTTATACAATTCGTGCTTGTTTTTTAGAAATTCGATAGTGTCCTCTATGTACGGTTTAAGCACTCGCCCGGTACCGGCACAACCCTCCCAAAGGCCGAGAACAAATTTAAATTAAATTAAAACTTGCCCTCGAACCGGGAATCGAACCCGGTACCCCTCACCTAGCTGCCACTTAATAAGAGCGCTAGGCTATGAGGCCCCCAATAAAAATCTTTTCAAAAATAGTAATAGTAGAAAAAAGGTATTTAATACATTGAAAGTTTTATTATAACGCATTATCTAGTTAAATAAAGTTTATTTAAATATCACAAAAAGAATTGCTTCTGCATAATTAAAATGGACATTCAGGGTGTCGGTTTTTTGTGACGGTGTGCGCGCGCATCGAACAAATTTACTCTCATCATTTTTTCCTAACGCGCTAAAAGTCAAAGTTAGTTCAAAAATGACTTTAGTTAAAAGCATCGAATTTCAACCAAAATAAAGAAGCTAATTTAATAAATATTTGTTTAATTACTGATCAGCTTTAGTATTTAAAAAGCAATTATATTAAGCTAACCTGTTGCAAATCAGTGAACTTCTGCGTAAAGGCCGGCGGCTGGAAGACTTTCCTCACATGAACCTTGCCTTCGGTCTTGTCCTCTCCCATTGGGTTCACCAGCTTGACGGAGTATACACCTGCATCTGGTCTCTCTACTGGGTTTATTTCCAGACCCACCTGGAAATTTAATTAACGATTCATATAAATACAAAAGTGCGTGTGTGCAAATAAAGGCAGATATTTTGGATAGATTTTATAAGTAGATAGATTGCCGACCTACAACGAATAGTAGTCTGTTGAAAAATGTTATAATTATGGTCAAAGTCAAATCATTTATTTCAATTAGTCCACGTAAAATGGCACTTTTTAATAGAACAGGGGCAAACGGGCAGGAGAACCTGATGATGCCAGAGGGCTCGCGAGTGCGTTGCCGGCCTTTTAAGAATGGGTACGCTCTTTTCTTGAAGGACCCTAAGTCGAATTGGTTGTGTGGCAGAAACTGCCTTAGGAAACGCTCAGTTGTGGAACGACGGACGTCGAGGTGATACGGATGGAATTTTGTATTCTGCCTCGACGTCCGATGATGAAACTCAGCTGCTCAGGTATTAATCCGAACAACTCCTCTGAACACTCGCCATGGTAACTCACCCGTTTGCCATCGCACGTAAGCAGAATCCTGTCATTGGGCTTAAGATCCTGTCCATCCTTGCTCCAGGAGACCTCAGGTACAGGGTTCCCAACGAAAGGTGCGGATAGTGTTAAGGGCTGACCCTCATCAGCTGTTACTTCGCGTAGACTCTGCAGGAACTGTGGACGCTCTTCGGGGCTGGTGTCATCGGTTCGGCCTGTAGCAAGTTTTGGTCTTTGATAAATTAAGTATTAACTGTTAAATTTTCAATTCTACCAAGAAGGTAGAACCCACTGGCCTACATGGAAATATTTTTTAAACATGTGTCTTTATTTCACGGAAAATTACGATCTAACGCATCTGAAGTGTCTTTGGTTATTCAAAAAGCAAATTACTCAGCTTCACACTAGGTAGAATGTGGCGTAACAATAGGGTGGCAGGGCTGGCAAAATGCCACGGGCCAAGAGGGCCCCTGCGCAAGAGATATTATGTTCTATGGATAAAATAAAATAAAAAATATGTTTATTATGGAACATAAGATACATGTATCACTTATTCCACGTCATTAAATTTGAATTTGTAGGCATCCCTACTCATCGGCAAAGAAGACAGAGGGTGTAGGCCGAGAGAAAAAGCCGGCGTAAAACCTCTCGGTACTCTTTTAAAACAGCAAATCATCAAACAACACTTATTTAAAACAAATATCGCAAATTAATTAGAAGTAGCCTGTCTAGCACTAGTCCCAGGCCCTTTTATCAACTAGATAATCGTTGTCTTTATAGTAAGCCTTTTTACACAGTTTTTCTTTAATACATTTCTTAAATTTATTGAAAGGCAGAGATAAAAAAGCCTCTGGGATTTTATTAAAGAAGAGTATCCCTTTCCCCAAAAAAGAATTACTAACTTTAGATAGTCTAGTACGGGGAAATTGCAGCCTGCGTTTGTTCCGTGTATTAACATTGTGCGTGTGTTCTATTCTAGTAAACTTATCACTATTTTTGTATACATACATAATATTTTCATAAATATATTGCGAGGGAAAGGTAAGTATATTAATTTCCTTGAATTTATCTCTAAGAGATTCCCTACATTTTAAATTATAGATTGCACGAATAGCCCACGAATAGGATGAATGTGAACTGTGAAGTCTCCAATACGCATTGGGCTAGCGGGGACTACAGACCATTCCCTCTCGCCTAAGAGAGGAGGCCATTAGTGGGACATATACAACGTGTAATTTAACGCTGAAAATCTCGAAGTTTATTAAAATTAAACTGAGAATTCGCCACGGGCCCCAGATGGTATAGATCTGAGGTTTTAGTACGAACTTTACTATAGCGTTTTTAAGTATACGTCGTATAAGATAATTCCATCTTTGATAGCGCTATCGACTTTTCAGTAGACATGTATATTATACATAATTACACGTGTTTTATTTTTCTACAACTCTACCATACAAAGGATGTGTGTGTATATGTTTATATCGACACAATGAAAGCATTGATAACATTTGATGGACATTTCTACTCGAATAAAATTGGAACAGTACACAATCCGCGAAAATAGAGGACACCGCGAGCCATTTCTGCCAAAACCCTCCATCTTATAGTCGATACCAACTCCGGGAAAATAAATACAGATAATGCAATTTTCTATAGCTGTGACACTTTTTGACATCCAACACTTGTTGTCTTCAGTCACTGTGACCACGCACGCTGTAAAGCACGTGAAACGTCGGCGAAATTTAAAATTATGAAAAATAATTGTAAATACATAACTTCAATCCGGTAAAAAAATTGTTTTAGTATCAAATGTTTGAAAGTTATGTCAATAAAAAACAATACTATTTGGATATAAACAGTATACAAGTTTTTCCACACAAATATTGATGTTACTATCCTATTACCGTATTTGAATTAATTTGAGTTTCATTGTGGTACGAAATCGCGTTTTATACAGGGCTAGCGATCAAGATAAACTAAATCGGTAGAAAATATATACTCACTGGCAACACTAAGTTCGGCAGTACTGGCAGTTTCTCCTTTATCGTTGATGGCAACAACGCCGTATTTCCCTGCATCTTCTGCCGTCGCCTTACTCAACAGTAGCGCGTGAGTTCCGTCCGGCTGTGCGACTATGCGAACTCTTTCACCATCAGGGACTATTTCTTTGCCGTTGTGCGTCCTATAAAATATTTACTAATGAGAAAAAAATGAAAAAGAAAGAAAATTTAAATGCAATTCTGTGTCTGGTCTAAGACCAGTTCAAAGAAGGTTTGTATAAAGTCAGAGTTCTAACAGGATTAAAATCTCAAACTTAATCAATAGTCACTTTTAATTGAGTAGATAATGTCATCTATATAGACAAACCTTTTTATCATAAAAAGGGCCTAAGGTTTTGGAAGTTGATTCAATATAATTATCCACTAAAAGATTTTATAATCATTATCAAAATTAAAAACAAAAATCTAAGGACAACAAAAGTATTAATTTTTTTAAACAACGGGCGTGACGTTAGTCGTTTGCAGACAAGACTGAGAATTAAAAGAAGTTGAATTAATTAACAATAATTAAAACACGGATGCTGTGCCAGGGCCAATTACAGTCACAGCACACACGAATTACATACTTGAAACGAACCGAATGGGAAAAGGGTTTTTTTTTAATTTTAATTTTTATTGTTTTTGATATCTCTCATTTTCTTTTTTTCTTTGATTATTGTATTTTGTGTGTTTTTGTTTGTAATAAATGATATGTCTATGTCTATGGATACGCAACTTAAGTAAAAAATAATACCATTTGATAATCGGTTGAGGATGGCCGAGGACCTTGACTTCCATCTTGACAGGGAACCCTTCGATCACTTTGGACGGCATCAGCTCTGCTATAAATGCTGGTTTACGTTCTTTTTGTGCAACCTGAAATTGTTGTAAGCCAAACCAAGTAAATAGAAAATTCTATATATTATTTCAAAACCATTAAAACATGTATTTCTAATAATTTTGGAAGTATTCAAAATTTTTCATTTTTGAGAGCAGTGTTGGCCTGGTGGCTTCAGCGTGTGACTCTAATTCCTGAGGTCGTAGGTTCGATCCCCAGCTGTGCACTAATGGACTTTCTTTCTATGTGCGCATTTAACATTCGCTTGAACGGCGAAGGAAAACATCGTGAGGAAACCGTATTGATTTAAACCCAAAAAAGTCGACGGCGTGCGTCAGGCACAGGCTGATCACCAAGTTGCCTATTAGATATACAAATGATCATGAAACAGATACAGAAATCTGAGGCCCTGACCTAAAAAGGTCATTGATTTTTTTTCTACACCTGCACATTTTATATGCACAATTAGAAAAGAACAGAAGAATTATTTAAAAATGTATATATTGATTACTAAGGTTTTAAACTTTTAACCAAAAACTCAGTAGTTACAAATACATTATACGTAAAGGAGTTTAGTCTCATGACACAAAACTGACCTCAACAGAAGCCTTCGAAGCAGCTTCTCCCAGCTTATTAGAGAGAGTAAGAGAGTAAACTCCGGCATCTTCGGGCTTGCAGGCATCTATGGCCAGACCGATGATACCGCCAGGTTGGTTAATGAAGTTCACGGCTTGGCTCGGTCGGATGGGCAGACCTAGATATTTTTTAATACCAGTATAGTTTTGATTTATTCAAGATGCTGGATTCATTCAGCTTCATTTATAGGTTCCGTTAATAACATCATGCGTTAGCTGGGTTGGGTTTATTTAGCGTTATTTAAATGAATACTCGTACTAAACCTACTAATGTTTAAAAGAAGTTAAATTATATTAAAAGTGTAGTAATCTTGAAGAACGCAACATAGATAAATTTTTGTGCATTGAATAAAAATCCTTAACACAAAGTGGTAAAGGTGAAATTACAATTTACGAAAAAAAATTACTTAATGTCTTACAATAATAATTTATTCACGAAATGTCTTAACTGAATTTGGCCAATTAGCTACATATTGAATTTTCTACAATAATTTATATCTAATATATAAAATTCTCGTGTCGCGGTGTTTGTGGTTAAACTCCTCCGAAACGGCTTGACCGATTCTCATGAAATTTTGTGTGCATATTGGGTACGTCTCAGAATCACAACATCTATTTTTCATCACCCTAATTTTTTTTTTAATTTTTATTCAAAAATATTTTTTATTTTTTTATGATACAGCATTAAAAAATACATACAACCCCTAATTTTCACCCCTCTACCATCAACCCCAATTTTAATTATAAATGATATACATATGTATAGTATATACAGCTAGTTAATTATAAAAAAGTAGATATTATCTTACCATCCTTAAACCACTTGACCTCAGGCGCAGGGAAGGCCATCACCCTGGCTTCCAGTTTCACGGGTTGACCCACCATCACCTTCGTGTCGTCCAACTCTTGACTGAATGAGGGTTTACGCGGTGTTGCTGAAAATTATTGGTAAAAAAGTGTTTGAATACATCATTATTATTACTTATATTCGTCATCAGTACTTTTTAAGTTGATATCGATATTATATGGTAACAAAACAAAAGGGACACGATAATATGAACAACGGGCCGTAACAAGCGATCTGTTCTGTGCAGTGCTTATAAGACTGAAAATACGAGTGCGGACTGAGGTACTCTTTGAATACAAACAATAAATACATGAAGATAATTTCAAAGTAAGGCAATGATAATATTTTTAAAGGACGATCTGAACAGGAAATAATGTATGAAATGTACCTAAAATGTCGTAAAGTATTAAATTTCCAAGGTAACCAAAAATACGCTGCTTAAAAAAATTGACGGATTTTCTTCTCCGCTTTGATTTAGAAGCTAAATGTAAATTGAGAACCTTAAATTTATTGAATATTTTTTTATTGACGGTATACACAATGCATTTAAAAATTAATCAGTGGCGCTACAAACTCTTTAGGTCTTGGCCTCAGATTTCTGAATCTATTTCATGATCATTTTTAAATATGATACGCAAGTAGGTGATCAGCCGCCTGTGCCTGACGCACGCCGTCGACTTTTTGGATCTATGACATGTCGGTTTCCTCACGTTGTTTTCCTGCACCGTTCGAGCAAATGTTAAATGCGCACATAGAAAGAAAGTCCATTGGTGCACAGCTGGGGATCGAACCTACGACCTTCGTGAATTCGAGAATGGTTTAGATTTAATAATTTTATTTTAAACTTACGATTAATAGCAACAGCGCACAAGGCCGAGTGTTCGCCGTTGGGGTTGGTGATAATGAGTTTGTAAGCGCCGCAATCTGATGGTGTCACGTGATCGATACTCAGTTTGATCGTACCATCTGGAAGAGATACTTGCTTCACGTGGTCGTCGGCTGGGAGTTTAACGCCGTCTTTGAACCTATAGTCATAAATGAATAGATTATCAAAATTCAACTAAATAAAAATAAAAATGATCAACCAACTCTTAGACTACAATCCCAAGACATCTAATTGTATGATAAGGTATTACTTTTTTAATCACTGTAAAAATTAATAATTCCTTTTGATAAAGAGACGTGCGCTTAATCATTAGATTTTTTGAAAAAAAAAACACTAATAAAGTTTGCATATAATCATAGTTTCCTGAAGTCATTGTTCTTTCTATAAAAATACTTCTAGTTATATATTTTCTAAAAAAAACATTTAATTTATTAATAATAATTGAAAAGTCTTGCTGTTTGTAACATATAACACGATTGTTAACGAAAGCATCGCTATTATTCTTACCATTGAGCGGTAGGAATTGGGCTGCCGTCGACCTTGGCCTTCAGCTCCAAGGGTTCCCCTTCGTCGACTTCCTTCTGCCTGTCCAGCTTATGTACAAAGCCGGGGGACACCTGCGCAAGAGATATTTCCGCCTCCGTGCTCGCTTCACCAGAGAGGTTTCTCGCTACTGCTTTGTACTGAAAATGGGATTTTATGTTAATTAACATTTTAGCTTTTAATTGAATAATAATTGGCGATAAAGAATATATAAAAGTTTGTAAAAAGAAGTAAATTAATGGGCGCACTGTCTTTGATTAACCTTTACTTTTTTTTTTTTTTTTTTTTTTTTTTGTTTTTTTTTTTTTTTTTTTTTTTTTTTTTTTTTTTTTCTCGAAGTTAAACGCAAAAGTAGCGGGGTGAAGATTGCTGTATAACCGTCAAAAGTATAGATAAGATTCATATCGAAAAAGCTAGGAAAAACATTTATTTCCTATTTTTACAGTAACCTAATACTAATATAATAGAAAACTTATTAATATAAACATTAAACTAAACACATAATACATATAAACAAAACAAAAAATATAAAACCTTAACTTTTTTGTAACTACTCAATAACTTAATAAAATATGCGATCCTTGTGAATTCAGCCAGTGTAGCAAGTGTAACATAATAGATTATGACGACAACATAAAGGGAGAGACTTCACAAGGTCGCCGCGCAAAAACGAAAGTTTTTATGGCTTAAGAAGCAAACAAGCAGACACATCATTTTCACCTGATATTCACTTATAGGTTTACGATTTGGTTTACGAACCTCCGATCACCTAACTCAAACTCAAAATATAAATCGATTAGACCACAAGCCCACAAAAAATACCTGTCAAATGAACCAACGTGAATTACGCTTAGAAGGCTGTTACTATATCTGAAAATAACTCTGAGCACTATGCCGTCAATTCTGAGCGGTACATGTGAGTACGTGAGTGAATGAAATTTCTCAGGTACAAATGAGGAATTTCGACTAATTATTATTATTAACTTTTAAATACTTTAAAAGTTCCTACTACATAAGGTTTGTTTTTTGTTTGTTGGTCTGTTTTTATATAACTATGAAACACAAATTTCTGAAGGCATCTATAAATATGACAGTGACAATTTTTAAAAAATCCCAGTAGGAACAGTTTTTATTGGAAAATTCAATCATCACTTTTAGTATTTTTCTTTACTTATTATGTTTCCCGTTAAACCTTGCCTGAACTTCCATAAACATTTCAAGATTATAATGAGCCAAATCGTTCCAGCCATTCTCGAGTTTTATCAAAACAAACGAACAGCAATTCATTTTTATTTATTATACTAGCTACCCGGCAAACGTTGTTTTGCTATGAATATTATTTCTAGGAAACATTGTAACATGTACTTAATAAAAAAACTAACCTTTCCAGCATCCGATGGATTGAAGTGCTTAATCTCGAGCTCGCTGTCCACTTGTCCTCCCACCTCAGTGGTGATAGTCCTTCGTTCATCATTAGCTAATTCAATTCCTTCCTTGTACCATTTGACACCTGGCTTTGGCACTCCATCGCATCGAACTTTAAGAGTGACGTCATCGTAATCTTTGACAGTTTGTTTTTGAAGCGGTTTTGTGAATTGGGGTTCGTTGGCTGGAAATATATAAAAGTTGATTTTCTGTCTTTGTCCCAAAAATGGGGGAAACATTTCCGTGAAGAACTTCCAGCCATCAAGGTGATGCTGATGAAATTTTGAGATTGAAACAAGGCAGGAGGGATCAACCCAAATAATTCTTCAGAACACTCACCATAGTACACTTTGTAGAAAACGCAATGTCTCTGCGTAGAGAGAGAGAGAGAGAGAGAGAGAGAGAGAGAATCAAGCGGATCAGTAATACATAGGAGATTGACAATTCGACAAGAAACCAAATTCAGCGAAGGAAAATTTGGTCAAAAGGAAGAAACTGGTATTTTATGATAATTGGGTTATTTTATTTCATAATGCGTCTGCAGATACCGTTATCGTAAGATACTAGATAACTACTATCTAAAATATACATAAAACGAATACGTACTATGTACAGTGAGTTTAGCCTGTTGAGCGGTCTCTCCGATCTCGTTCTTAGCGGTGACAGTGTAAACTCCAGCATCTGCAACTCCTATCTTCTTGATCGTGAGACTGTATGTCTCCTTTGCGAGATCTTCGTTGATTTCGATGTTAGCCGAAGGTTGGATCACGTAGCCATCTTTACTCCTACAAATATTTATATAATTAAATTGTATCACTGGATTTCGGCTAAAAATTCTACGTCAGTTTCAGGAACTTTATTTTTTTGTAGGTGAAACTTTCTATGACTTTTGGGTGTAAGACGAGCCATGCGAGACCTGTTATAAACATATTTCTTTATTGACACTTTGCACAAGAATTAAATGGTATTAACAATAAATTTAAATAAAGAAAGAAATATATGGTGCAACGGACATAACAATAAAAATTGAGTGCATGACCTCAAAATTCCTAGACTAACTACAATACAAGTTTCTTATGAACACCCCCGAAGTTAACTTATTTAACAGAATTATTGTTTTAAATGAAATATAAGGCTTTTAGGCTTACCATTTGACTTCTGCAATAGGATTAGCTCTGATATTAGCGACGAAGGTGGTCTCTTCATAGGGAACCGTTGTGACGTCTTTAAGTCCTTCGATTTCTGGTCTCAGAAGGATGTCGAGACGAGCTGAACACTCTCCGATGCCGTATTGGTTCTTCGCCTGGATTGTGTACACTCCTGTGTCTTGATGACGACCTGTAAAATCCACCTTTGAATTTATACAAGTCATTTAGTCAACTGATAGTTGATTGCTTGATGGTTTTAACAATTTAAATTGTCGATCGTCAAATTTAGAGAACCAACATCTTCTACCTCTCCATTTTAGGCACATTATTCATAAAAAAATAAATAATACTTTAAACTGAAATACTCTTTCGTCTCTTACAATCACATTGTGTTTACACTGTAATGAAAAGAGGTGCATTTAGACTGCTTTTGCTAAATAAGGAATTTCTTCCTGTTTTGAAAACCATTCATCTTTTTGCTTAGTCAAGAAACTCCAATCGTTTGGGGTCCATACGTTGGAGTTATATAATTCTTAAGAAAGAATTTATTTAAGAACTTACCAGTAGGAATTTGTAGTGTGAAGATACACTCTTTCAGACCATGCTCCAGTTCCTTTGAATCTGCACTGGTAGTAACAGTTGCATCCGGTACAATCTCATTTCCATTGAGGAGCCAGGCGACATGTGGTAGCGGGTCAGCCGTACAGATGGCTTTGAGTGTGACGGGTTCTCTTTGCATTACGCGTTGAGCTTCCAATGGTTGCCTGAAGATTGGTTTGCGGTATTCGGCCACCGCTGGAAAGATTTAATAGTTAACATGGAGCGTGATAGCAGGGAGTCAATGACGAACGCCATCTAACAACTCATGGTAAATAGATAATATGAAGAACAAGAACAGTAGAGAAGAAAGAAACATTTTTAAAATTTAATCAATAACACAGTACAGAACAGAACAGTACCCAAGGAATTGATTTGTACTACATCACACCAAAGACTGTGTAAATAAATGTACATGCTCTTGAAGGATGTAGACGTGAGAGACCAGAATCTACTACACCAGGAGACGGTAATCAGAGAAGAGTCAAAGCTAAGGTACTAAAGGCAAAACGTTTTATAAATAAAATATGAACAAAGATATAAAAATTACTTACGAGAAACGGCTAGTTCTGCATCTAAAACTTGTTTGCCAAGTTTGTTGCTGATCTCGCATTGCCATTTACCAATATCCTTAAGATCCACTGCATCTATCGCTAATTTGTAAACATCTCCTTCATTCGTAAGGTGGATTCCTTTATCTGGTTTAACCTCTTCACCATTATGAAGCCAACGGACTGTAGGCTTTGGCTTACCGACCGCCTCAACTGTGTATACTAATGGTAGGGATTCGAACGTGTGACCATCTTTCATACTGCTTTCTTTTAATGTGGGTGATGCTAGAAACAGAGGGATATTGTGAATTTATATTTTTTACACACGAGAGCTAAGGTTTTATGTACGTAGCAATATCTAGAAAAATAAATTTTACAATGAAATAAGCTACATACAAGTGAAATAAAGCGTATCATAATATGAGGAACTTGAATGTTTATACAGAAATAATATTTAGAAATATTTCGGCACGAAATAGTTTTACCATAAGCAGTATACAGTTGTGCAAAATTGTTCAATCGTAAGAAAACTTTGGCGCTTATTTACAGCCGTTATCGCAATAAAATTAGTTATACTTACCAAGAGTTTATGTGTAGTGATTTGTGACCATGTGATATGTATGTACCTACCGTGAGTATACTAAACATACCGATGCCATGCCACAAAATAAACGAAAATTTTTACCTTGATGAAGACGACATTTGCAGCCTAACACCTTCGACGTAAGACCCAATTATTAGTATGCCAGAAGGAAAAGTTATTACGCATGCGCGCTAAAACAAACATACGTTCGAACATTAGTAAATATATATTGCCGTTATATATTGATCTGTTTTTTGTGAATATCGAAAAGCATACCAAAATTGAACAACTAGCAATTGAATTTCAAGCGACATTGACATGTTACTGTGATGTACAAATAGCGTTACTATTTTGTTCACAGCCGCGCGCACTTATCAAATTGTTTCTTGATCAATAATTTAATTGACTAGATTACCTTTTTCTTCTTCCGAATTCAAAATATCGTCAAGAATGCTGCGTTGTCTTTGACTTCTCTTCAATAATTCTTCAATGTTTCCGTCTTCTTCCTCCACAATGAATAAACTTTTATCTATCTTTCTTTTCCGTTCTACTGTTGTTTCGGCTATATTTTTCGTTATGTTAGTGATATTTTTAGGAGATTCTATAACTAATTCTTCAATAAGTCTATTTTTAATATTATCTTTTTTACTTCCGAATTTCATATATTCGCCATCTTCAAATTCTTTTGATATATCTATAAGTTTTTCCGTGACGTCACGCTCAAATACTTTTTCAGACTTCTCCTTGAGAATAACATATTCTTCCTCCCCTTCATTCGTGTAATAATCTTCTTTGAAAGAAGTTTGACGCACGTATGAGTCCTTGCTGAATACCTTCTTGGTTTCGTCTATTTCGAAAAGTGATTTAGACAGATCCTCAATAGATATTTCTCGGGAAAGAGAATCGTTTTGCCAGCTCATTTCATCTTCAGATGCAGACCTAATAGAATAGGTACGGTTTCCGCCGTGTCGACCCATTCGAGGAATTGAATCAGCGTCCGAGTCGGTTTGCGGTTCTTCAATAATTCCGTATGTACCCCTTCTTATGTGATCAGGTATAGTGAAATACCCTAGCTCAGATAAGAAGTAGCTATGACTAGCTATCTCTTCCACTTCAAGTGAAGTTGTGTGTGGTTTATTAGGAATTATTATTTTTCTATCGCATTCATCATTTTCATCATAATGCATAGCAGTTGTAGTCATTTTATGTAATGTGCGCGTTTCGGCTGGACCTATCAGTTAAAATATTATTATATTTGAAAGACAGTACAAATTATTTAATACAAGAAATAAATAAACATGCTTAAACGATGGGTACATGAATACTAAAATATAACTACAGGACGATTTACTTTTGCGGATCAGGGCAATTAAATATGACGTGATGTAATGGAAATGTAGTATGGGAAGGAAAGCGGGTAGTTTTTTTAACTTACCTGTTATTATGGCACCGTGCGAACGGGTGCTGCTGACTTTAGATACAGTAATGGAGCCATCATCAGCTGACTTGAACGTGGTTACTGTTTCGAAAACTCGGCCTAAACAATAAACACACTTGGGATTGTTAAGAAAAACTCAAATTAAAATCATGCAACGCTACGCGGAAAAAATTATGAGTGTCACGAAGTAAAGCTGTTTGCCTGTTTGTGAAGAAGCAAAGCGCATTTTATACCTTCAGTATCAGCACTCAATGGTTCTTCAGCAGTAGATTGTTTTTTAATAGATTTACGTTTCGGAGACTTAATTTCCACTTCTTCGATTATTTCCGGTTTAGTAACGGTCTTTTCTGCTTTCTGTACTGTAGTGCCTACTTCTTCGATAACTTTTTTGACTTCATTTTGATTTTCATCGATAACAGACCCTGTCTCAATTACTTCAGGCTCAGTAATAGATTTTTTAGCTTTACGTGGAACTGATTCTACTTCCTCAACTTTAGAAGTTTTGGTCATTCTATCATTATCTACATCATCCCAAAATGATTTTTCTTCAATAATTTCCGGTTCTGTTACGGACTTTTGAGCTTTATATGGTTTCGCTTCATCAACAATCTCTGTAGTACATTTAGATTTATTAGAATCATCTAGTAGCTTTTTTTCTTCAGCGACTTCCGGCTCAGTAACAGATTTTTTAGCTTTACGTGGAACAGATTCTACTTCCTCAACTTTAGAAGTTTTGGTCTTTCCATCGTTATCTACATCATCCCAAAATGATTTTTCTTCAACAATTTCCGGTTCCGTTACGGACTTTTGAGCTTTATATGGTTTCGCTTCATCAACAATTTCCGTAGTACATTTAGATTTATTAGAATTATCTAGTAGCTCTTTTTCTTCAGCGACTTCCGGCTCAGTGAACGATTTTTTCGCTTTAGCAGGTTTTTCAAGATCGGTTACAATAGAATTTCGCCTTTCATTATCTTGTTCGTTTATCAAATTCTCATTAAGGGCTTCAGGTTCTGTGACAGATTTTTCTGGTTTAAGTGCGACTGATTCGACCTCTTCTACTGAAACTGCACGCAAACTCACATCATCAACTGATTTTTTTTCAATGTTTTCGGGTTCTGTTAGGGATTTCTTAGCTTTATTTGAAACGGGCTGATCAACCTCTTCAAACGAAACTGATTTAGCCTTAGCATCGTCGTCTAATACTGATTTTTCTTCGGCAACTTCAGACTTAGATTTTTCTTTTGTAGCTATTTTCTTGACTTTATCGTCGAGCAAATCTTTAACAATCTTTTGTTTTTCTGCACTATCTGCATCCAACTCATTTTCAGTGAGTGTTTCCTTTGTGAACCTCGAATGAACTTCTTTGGCTATCGAACACAATGAAAAATGAAGACAATTAAATGAATTACGGGAATTCTAAATTAGGAGATGCTATGTTACGTGCTTTGAAGGATGTAAATGTAAGGACACACGAGCATTCTAGTCTATTGAATGCCTACACTTGTGATCAAGTTTTGCTTTAAACTACAAATATACTAGGACGTCACATTAAAACTACATAAACTACGTGCAGTAGTCAACTCTACGTGAGGCTAAGTTAAACTCACTAGTCTATCCACAACTCGTGCTCTTCTTTACCGATACTTTGTTTAAGTTTTAAGTGTTCTGTATTGCAGATCAGGAGTTCGCTAGACATTAAACTAATCTCTATCGTCAGACTATTGTTCTAAAAAATTATAATTCTCTTTATGTAAATACTTACTGTGTACGGTGACTGTACTCTTACAAGAAACGCTTCCCATTTCATTTTCAGCTCGAACTTCATATTCCCCACCATCTTCCTCCTTTACTAACGTTACAGTGAGGTTATAATTCTCCAACCTGATAATAATTATTGGCATTACAAAATATGTTTTTGATATTTTTTTAAAATAAATATGATATCAATTTAAGTTTTTGGTCAAACGGTATCTTGTTTGATATACCAAGACTCACATTAAATATTTTTTCAACTATTTGGCCTTATCAAAAAACTACTACGTGTAAAGAGTTAGACAAATAATTCCAAAACATTATTATAAAATTAAGAAGCTGCTTTATTATTAAAAAGTTTCGTAAATCAATTTGCAATCAACAAAAATAATAAAATTCTAACCTTTTCGTATCCCGTTCGATCTTGATTCTTGCGTCAGTGTTCACTTCCTTTCCATCTTTGTACCATTTGACCTTCGGTTCTGGGCATCCTTCTACTTCCACTTCTAGCTTCAGGGTTTGACCTTCATCCACCGTCATGTCTATCAAGCTCTTCGTGATGCGAGGTTTTCCTGAATTAAAATATTTAGCAATATTGAGATTGTAGAAAAGTTGTTTCAGCTAAGTTAAATGTTGTGTTTTCTGTAAAAACATCTTTAACACGCCTACGAATTTAATAGCAATATATATGTATTTTTTTAACTTTTTTAATAATATTTACAGAAATATATAAGCAATTTTAAATTGTAATACGCATTGTAGTTAGACGGGCTTATCCATAAAAAATAAATTACTTTAATTGGATCACTGGATCGTTTAAACTCATCTGTCCCTTTTTATCACAACGAAAACACAATTTGACAGAAAGAGACAAAACCGTATTTTATTGTATAAGGGGCAAAATATAGATGATAACTTACTGTTGACAGTGAAGGTAGCTTGACAGGAATCAGCGCCGAGGTCGTTAGTGACCCTGCAGAAGTATTGTCCAGACATTTCAGCTGACACCTCCTTCAATATCAGTTTGTGCGTACTGCCGTTGTCTACGCGACTGTACACCGACTTCTTTTCGGTTATTTCTACGTCACCGAGGTACCTGGAATACGTTTAAGTGGTTTTTGAATATGTCATTAGAATTATATATGATTCAATTACACGAAGATACTTGAACCAATTCGGAAAATGTCAGGTCGGGTTCTGATGATGAACCATAGAGAAATCAAGGTTTATCTTCGTGATTAGTGATATCCAAAAAAAATACAATCGCAGTGTGGTTGGTATAGAAACAGAAATCGGTAAAGACAAAATGAAAAGACAAAGATTTTTAATAACAATTTTTTGTAAGAATGTTTTTGATATTAAGTTTCCACTCACCATTGCACCTTAGGTTCGGGATAGGCTTCGACGTTGACAGTGAACTCAACATTGACATCTCCCTCACTCGAAGTGGTGTCCTTGAGCCGTTGCGTGAATACGGGCCCGCAACGCACGTTCAAGAGGCACGAATCGCTCGTTGATCCGTGTACGTTACGAATCTATGATCACAATGTTATACACTATTATGAAACTAATGTGTTTGTTTGGTTGAATGGGCTAAACTCAAGAACAATAATTGAATTGATTATAGTAATTAGGTTATTTAGTAAATATGTATTAAAATTTGTTAATATTCCAATAGATATTGGGTTAAATAGAATTATCTCTAAAGTCCAACTAAATAATCTCAATTTAGTGAAAAACATAAATCTGAAGTGGGAGCCAAGTTCAAATACACACGGCAGGCAAAATGAGGCCTCCACAACTAGAAAGTTCTATAGGTCAACTGAATAAACAACTAAAATAAAAAAAATTTAGAAAATATAAAATATCAGAAAATATTGTTTGAATATGTAATAAGACAAATTATATTTTAAGTCAAAATCATACGCTAAATTTAAAAAAAAAAAAAAAATCTCTTTCTTTAATATTTACCATGACACGCATAGATATATAAAATCTCACCTCACAAGAGTATTCTCCAGCATCAGCCCTGGCTGCCGAGGTGATCACCAATTTGTGCGCTTCACCCGATGATGATATCTTGATCGCTGATGACTCCTTTAATTCTGTCTTGTTCTTGAACCTAGAATAATCATATTACATTGATGGTTGATTTGATTTGAATTGAATTGATATTTTTGTACTGATAACGGGAATTACCAAGTGACAGTCGGTGCGGGTTCAGCTTCGGTTTTAACTTCAAAGGTGACAGTTTCCTTCTCTTCGCAGACTTTAGATTCGCCCAGTTTCTTGATGACCTTGGGCGGTGATGTGACATGCCATTGCCAGAAGTCAGAGCATTGGTTCACCTCGTTTCTGAAAGAAAGAACACACAAATTATTTACCTAATAATTTATTCTTAAATTATTACTTATTGATCAATGAGATAAAGTAAAAAATTTCACTACTCCTCATTCATCAAAAAATTGTCAATTTTAACAGAATACAAATATGTGTTTCTTGAATTAGTTTGGATAAAATATTCTGTTATTAATTTCATATTTTTATATACTGAACAAAGGTCCAAAATTTATATATTATTATACTAAAAACAGATAATATAGATTATAGACCTCATAGGTCAAAAATATCAAAAAAATATAAAAATATATAAAAAAAATCAAACATCGTAATCAAAGACTTCGTAAAAGCGGTTCTCTTATTTAATTAATGAATAATAATAAAACTTAGTCATAACACAATATGGTTGTGATAAAATTTGTCTGACGCTAGTTTATTTTATAATTATTTTTTATTTAATTACAATAATTGCTTTAAAATGTGATAAAGTTCATGGTGGTTGGTGTTTACAAACATTTCGTAAAAAAACCATGACGATTTAAAAGACTGGCAATACTTCGTGTTTTTTAGTGACGTTTATAAATGTATACTTAATATAATTAGCTACTGAATAAATGATATTTAGCCAGAATTTATTTCCTTCTTTTAAACAGATTGTTCGATCGTTTAAACCCATTGAAATCAGTTGGGTTACGACTTGTCGGTTTCTCCCGATTTTTTTAGCGAATCTTTTCCACTAGGCCAGCACTGCTGCTTAGAAACTTGGCTATTTACCAACTGTACAATCACAATTTGTTGTTTTTGGCGCTGGTAAGCTTACCATTGAACAAAATATCAGGTTTCAACAAAATTTTGCAACACATTTTACGAACGATATTATTTGTATACAGTATTATGTTAAACGTTAAATTTTTCCTATAACTTAAATAGATTAAAATTAAAGTCTCACAACGTTTTACTTTTGATCTCTCATACTGAGAACTAAGACAATATTCTTTTACCAGATGTCGAAGTTGGCCCTTAAATTCGGAAAAATTCAACAAACACAGTTATTATTAGGATTTTATTTAATATCGTCTCTTCTCTTAATCAAATTAAAAACGTGGCGATTTAAAAGAGTGACGAAGAGTTTATTGCCAATTCTTCTAGTTCTTCCGAATCTGTGCCATTGATTACAGAAAATATAAGATCGCTTTGAGATCAAATTTAAAACCAATATTTTATCAAAAATACTTACTTAGCAACAATGGAGTACGATCCGGAATCTGTAAGCTTGGCATCTTTAATGGTGATGGTGTAAACTTCGTCGGATTCTTTGGTGATGATGATGCGGTCTGAGCTGGTGATGAGAACTCCGTCTTTGTAGAAGCTGACTTCAGGTGCAGGGGTACCTTCCACCTCAATACGGACTGTGTGAGATGTTTCCACCTGTAACGTTAGACAAAGAGGATTAATGAAATTACGATTTTTTTAGGATTTGACTCCGTGGCTTAGTATCTGCTATTTTTGCAATTCGATTTCAGTCGAAACAACGATGGTCGAGATAGACAGGCTAACTATTTGTTCATAAAATAATAAAAGTAAAACTTAAATATTAGGTTGGGGAAAAAGTCTTTTCGCATTATACTATGTATGAACTTGTAATAAAATCTCTTTGACTACATGTATTTGCCTGTTTTTGTTATCATTGAAAGTAGAGATTTTAAAGAAGATAATTCCTAATTCATATTAGGATAATGTGTGATTTTTATTTATTTTTCGTTTTCTTTAGGCAGTGTCAGGTTAACATCACGAGAGGACTGCCAAAACCAATTGTCGCGGTATTTTTATCAGAAGCCCCAAAATTTCTATAGCAATGGGATCATATCCCAACCTACAAGATGGCAAAAAGTTATCGAACAAAACGGTACCTACACCTACCTACAACCTACATACTTTAGTTAAATGTAAATAAACTATATTAAAAAATGTTGTGAATTTTCTTGAAAAATGCGAAGAAACTTTTTCCCCAACCTATTATATACAATAATTTTATTTATTTTCGGGTTAAATAAAAATAAACGCGTAAGTGGTCAGTTCTACAAAAAAAACACGATATTAATAAGGAATAATGTATGAGGAGAGAAACTTTGTGAGTAAAACTTCAAATTCTTTAAAAAACAGAAGCAATGTATATTACCATGCAAGTCTGGTTCTCAATCTTCTTCTTAATTTTGGGTGGAGCAGTCACTACCAGATTGAAGGAAGTGGTATCATCCCCAAGGTCGTTGGACGCTGTCACTTCATACACGCCGCTATCGGCTGATGTCACATTCTTGATGACCAGAGACATGTTCTCGTCGTCTTCGTGCAAGAACCTGAAGTTATTTAGCAAGAATATATAAGCAAATCAATTAATATAGAACAGGATATTTTCATGAAAAAAAAAAAACAATTTTAGAATTTTAGAAATATTTAAAACATAGAAGAACAAATTAAATAATTGTTTTCTGAATATTTTAAATGATTAAATTAATAATTATCATAAATTATAATGTTGTAAGTCACACATAGCTTCCTAAAGCAATGAAACTTTGAACCAGAATAATTAGAAACGAGCTTTTTGAAAAAAAATATCAATACTTTTTATAAGGTTTAAATGAAGGTCTATAAATTACAGAACTTTTATAAAGCTAAAATATTCTTATTATGGGTTTGTCAGTCAGTGTGAGTTGGAATTAAAAAACTTACTTATGTCTTGCATCGGCTTCGATAACATCTCCCTTATGCTTCCAGACCACAGTAGGCTTCGGATAGCCTTTGCAGACCAGCTCCAGCATGGCTGATCCACCACTAGACACCACTGCTTCCCGATGTTCAATCTCTAGGGTTGGCTTTTCGGGCTCACGGTGGAGATAGTTGACGGCACCTACAAGATTAGGTTGATAAAAGTTTAACAAGAACTTAAACAAAAGTAAACCTTATTGATAGAATTCTAATCCTGGAATGGGTTTTTGAAACTGTTCTATTTTTTTAAATCGAATCGTTATTCAAGAATTAAGGATGATTAACTAAAAAAAAAATATTACACAAATAAACTTTTAAACAATTGTTTTGTTATTCAATGCAAATTTTTAATATATATGTAAGGAAAACATAATATATTTTCCTATACAAACTCTTTTGTAATGTTGTCTTTGCCTTCTGATCGACGATGTTTAATTTATGACTTGACGATGTTTAAGATATTTTAATTTTTTCATTATATTATTTTACTTTATAAAACCTAGAATATAGGCTTTAAATGTTGTTTCTTTTGTATTCACAGAGAAACGCAGTTGCGCCTTATTTATTCCCAGTATAAGCGATTGATACTATTATATAATATATATAAATTTGAAAATACCATAGCGTAAAGTAGATTAAAAAATGAATGAGAAAATTTAATTGAGAAATTCTAACCAGAAAATCGAAAGTGAACTTTATAATTTTGTAAATCAAAATTTATTGTTTTTTATAATACCATCAAAATGTTTTTGAGGCACTTCATTATATTAGAATAAAAAAGCGTTTCGATTAAACATGAATAACATGGTGCCAAACGTCATCAAATGCATTGGATGCCAAGCAGAGAAGGCCTAGGACTAGAGGCAGGTCAGTTGCCAAAAGTCAACATTGTTCAACAATTAAACGATTAAGACAGACGCGATATTATTTTAAATTATTTTAAAGTAATTTCAACTATGGATTAAATAGAAAAAAAAAACATTGTTTCACAATAAAATTGATCTGTGAAAATATTTTAACTTATTGATAAGACTTAAAACTATAAACTGTTTTTAAGTAAACTAACATGAAAGCATTATTTATAAATTTTCATATGTTAAACTTACCTTGTACAGTAAGTTCGGCAGAGCAGGAAATATTTCCAGTGCTCGTCTTAGCAACGCAAGTATACATCCCAGCATCTTCAGGCTTCACGTGCTGGAAGACCAGCGCTAGGGAATCCTCATCGTCTCCGAGGAGAACCTTGAACCTCTCTTCAGGGTCAAATTCAAGGCCATCGCGTTTCCAGGCGAACACCGGCTTTTCGCCCTTCGCCAATAGACCTTCCCCTCCGGGCGGCAGCTCCCCGAATATGTTCTTGTCATCTAGAAAGTCCATTTTATTGAAGTATTACTCTAGGAAACCTGCATTTTATAATTACATGAACACAACGAATGGGACGAGCCGACGCGATGAACTGATTTCAATACTGAGTCTTTGCCAAAATTAAAATAGCGTAAACAAATTAATCGAAATAACAATTGAGGGCGTTAAACCGGCGTTATCTATTGCATTATCAACAAGGTTTATTAAAACTTTTGAGAACGTTACATAATCCATGATATTTATAGTGGAGGCAACGTGTAACAAATCGAACAAACATCCCAACAAACGATAGGCAAATAGTAGAAAATAGTGAGAAAAAGCTATTAATAAACAACCATAAATTCATAAAAATTGGAAACAATCCAATAGTTTTAACTAAAATGTGTCGCATATCTTCCCATAACCTTTCAACGAGAAATGAATATCAAGATCATTCTAAATTTAGGAAGGAATTTTTCAATATTTTAGTGTTCTATCTAGTTTCTGAACGAGTTTCGCTTAGAATTATTTTAATTACTAATGAATGGATCCTTTTCGTTCAACATTCATAGGATATACGTTCTTTTTACCAAGACCTTCATTCTGTTTCGATATATTGGACAATATTTTAATAAGTTTAACTACGGTCCAAGAGTAAAATTAATAATAATAATAAAACTACTTCAAAAAATACTACAACATTTTGTAATTCAAATTATATTAATCACATCGAAATTCTGGTAGCGTGACTACTTTTTTAGGTAACGTTTATTCATTTCTAAATTACTGAGCGGTGCTGAGGTAGTGACTTCAGCGTGCGACTCTCATCCCTGAGGTCGTAGGTCTGATCCCCGCCTGTGCACCAATGGCATTTCTGTCTAGGTGCGCATTTAACATTCGTTAGAACGGTAAACAAAAACATCGTGAGGAAACCGTCGGAACAAGGCACGAGAGGCTGATCACCTACATGCCTATTAGATTGACAAATGATCATGGAACATATACATATTTCTGAGGCCCAGACCTAAGAAATTTGTAGCGCCACTGATCTATCTAAATTACTGATAATATGTTGGGTTGATCACCTACTTGCATGTACATAAACTAAGCACTTGAAATATCAAACAATTAGCCACATTTATAAAAATAAAAGCTATCGTAACTTTCTTACCAACAACAGCTACTGTGCATTCTGATTCAACATCGCCATATATATTGACAGCCTTACACGAGTATTTGCCTGCATCGGCCACATTCACATCAGAGATCACGAGTTCGTAGCAGCCCTTTTCGGCGCGAGTACGTACAATTGATACCCGGTCACTGTCCAGGCATGTTGTTATTTCTTTGCCTTCGCGGTAGCTGAAATTAATGAATAATTATTATTAGAGTCTAACTGCGGCCTTGCGGTTTCAGTTTCGTTCGTTCGAGAAATTGACCTGAAAAAAGTCCTGAGTTCTATCTCGAGTTAGCGCGTGCAAACAAATTGAGGGAAGCGCTCAAAAGGAGATATGTTTTCCCGTTTTGGTATTTTTTCTATTGTTACGCCGCTCCTTTGGACATTATATTGGTGAAGGAAATGAAAATTTAATGGTTAAAATCGTTTCAGATATTTAAGTCTCTCCATAACACATAAAAAAATCGATTATTGTATCGCGATGTTATAAATATTTTCTCGCATATGCCACACGAAAATAATTTTATAGCTTAAATTTTTATCACAACCGTTGTTTCGCTAAGTTTGAAGGTTCAACAGTGCTACACTAGATTATGATTATTTTTTCTGAATTTATTAAAAAAGACGATATACTCACAACTTGACATCGGGATTAGGGTTTCCCTTGACCTTAACCATGAATCGTAGGTAAGTGTTCAACAATATCTCAGTATCCTTAAGAGCTACTATGAAATAGGGCGCATTGAGGGCATTCTTTTGCTTCCTCTCTTCTGGTGTTACTGAAAACGCGTAAGAAGTTTGGATAATATTTCGTAGTGTTTTTTTACATCTTCCCCACACCTTACCGATTATACCAACCATACTTTTCACGTCTCCTATCATATATATATATATGTATATATACCTATATATACCATAAGCAGTACAGGTTTTCTATTAATAGTTAAATTACAAGTATATTAAGGAAAGGTTTTAAGTTTAATAAAATCTAGACGTCACAGTACATGCATATCTCTATTTCAGTAGCAAATACGGGAAAATTATCAAGAGATTGAAGTAGATTGAACTACTATTATGCTTTTACGATGTCTTATTCGATGATTGCGGTAGCCAGGCTTTTATTAGCTAGTTTTGAGGAAATTCTTATGACCAAGGAACAAATTATTTTCAACAATGTTTTTCTAATACGATGTAAGCCATTTAAAAGAGTTCAATAAAATCTATACCAAGCTTTTCGAATATGGCCGAACTTTATTTATATTTTAAAACACTGAAATTAATTTGTCCCAATACTAATATCTATTACTCACGCTCGTGTACAATCAGCTGTGCGGTACAGTGGGCGTTGCCGGTTTTATTCTGCGCACGCGCCGTGTACAGCCCAGCATCATCTTCCCTACAGTGCTTTACTTCCAGTTTGTGAACACTTCCTCTCTTTATAACATTGACTCTGTCCATCAGTTTGTCCGTTAGGGGCTTGTTATCTTTCAGCCAAGTTACGTCCAGCTCCTCAGAAGATTGGATGTCGCATTCGAATAAGGCATTTTCGCCGGCTGTGGAGTCAAAAATTATGGATGCCTACGGTAAGGATGACCACTTTTCACGTACGTGTCACGTGTACATGTGTGTACGTTTGGCAGAGCGATTGAATTTAGTCGAGTTAACACGTTAACTATATAAAAATGCCAAATTCGATTAATTTGAAGAAAATAAAACGTAAGTCTCGTGAGCAATTTGTATTAAAACAAATGTTAGTTATAATGGTCTACAATTCATTAATTGAATCGATTCTTAAAGTAATATTTTTGACAGAAAAATGCATATTTACGATATTTAGATTTTTATTTAATAAAACATAAAATACTACATTATACTTGATTCTCAAAAAAGCCCATAGTTTTTTCAGGGCCATAAGTGGTCATCCTATTCAAACTGCATTAGGACATATAAGCATTAGCACAATGTGTGTGTAAGTTAGTAGTAGTTCTAACAAGCATATTTACAAGCGCTGCGTGTCTGTCGGCTGTGTTTCGTGAATACTTACGTTCAATGTTCTGGCCTTCTAGAGTCTTAGTAAAAATAGGTCTTCCATCGAAAGAATCGGATTTAGAAACCGATTTCTTTGATTCATATTCGCTGGTCACAGATCCGTTCAAAAGTGCGTTTTTGGAGAATTCCTCTTCGTAGACCGTTCTGCCGTTGGCCTTACTTTGGCGTTTTGATTCGAACTGAGTTTCAGCTTCCACATTGTTACCATCAACACTTGTTTCTATGTTTAATCTTGTGGAACGAGTTTTAGACTTTGAACTCTCTGTGATAGAGTTGCGACCGTATTTAGAGGCAATACTGTCGATTTTGCTTGGAGCGTCCATTTCTACATCATAACCAGCTTCGATAACTTTTGTAGATTTGGTTTCAATATTATTATTGAGACCGTATTTAGCGGCGATGCTATCAATTTTGCTCTCAACCTCAGATTCTTCAGAATACTTCGATTCTTTACTCGAGTTGCTTCTTTCATAGCTCGATTCGAGAGCTGAGCTTTTAATTGATTTATCAAAACTAGAATCAACGCCGTAATTGGAGGCGTCTTTGATTGATCTTCTACTTTCATAGCTTGACTCAACACCATATTCATCCTTGATAGAGTTGGTCCTGTCGTATTTGGATCGGTCTTTGATGGACCTCCTGCTTTCGTAACTGGACTCAATCGAATCTTTTGTAGAGTTATTCCCTTCGTAGCCGGATTCGATTCCATATTTCGAACCGTCCTTGATGGATCGCCTACTTTCGTAAGAAGACTCTACTCCGTGCCTAGAGCCGTCTTTAATTGAACTCCGGCTCTGAAAGCTGGACTCCACTCCGTACTTTGAACCGTTATCTATGGCACTCGTTGAGTACTTGGATTCATATTTTGAAGCAGCCGAGCCTTCAATGGAGCCTCCTAAATCAATACGATTGCTCTCTACACGTGAGCCACTCTCGCGGCGAGAGTACGTAGAGGTACCGGTTCCATCGGAAGATTCGTATCGGCCCCCAGTCGAAGATTTTCGGGTACTACTGGAATATTCTGGAAATTGGCGTTTATTTTTATTTTTGGTCTCAAACATCATAATACATGTTAAAATGAGGACAATAAGATACTTATGAAAATATGTTACATTAAGAATTTACACTTGTGAAAATGACACAAAGACTTCAGAAGGCGCAGCGCCAACCAGATCCATGCAACTTTCTCACAATCCGGGTCCGCCAAGATTGGCGAATATACAATGTAAATACATAATTATTTAGCAACACATTAATGTTGCTAAAACGACTCGGGCGAATGGTCTCTATAGAGTTGCTGAAAATGTCCACCGAGCCAATTTTCATTTTCGAAATTCAAATTCGAAACAATCAAAGTTATAAAAATCCGAAATAAACAGGACCATTAACCGATGAGCACAAACGTGACGGTCGTGTAAAAGGGATATTTGTTGATAGTCAACCGCGTACTGCAGTGGATAGGGATTTTAGCAACCAATTAAGTCAGTAAATGAAAATAGATTTATATTTAATTAAAAGTATAAGATTAATATTTACCTCCAGAAAGCCGCGAAGAGCGGCTATATCTCGATGACATTTCTTCACCTGTTTCTTCTGATTCAACAGTTTGGCTTTTTATTACAACTTTATCTTCTGAGGTGACTGCAGAGTTTGTGTCAAGTGCGGACTCTTTTGAAGCAACTTCTGTATTATCTTTTTGCTTAGTAAATTCCTCGCTAAAACTTTCAGTTAGTTCAGTTTTTTCTTTTTCTGGTAGCTCTGTTACCTTTTCAGAACTCGGGGTTTGGTTAGATGTATTAATAGCATGTATATCTAAACTCTCTTGTGCTTGAACAGTTTGTTTTGAGACTGAAACCGTTTCTTGTGAAGATTTTATTTGTGTGACGTCTTTTTCTTCTTCGCTATAATCAACTGATTCTGTCTTCTTTTTTGACTCACGTTTAGTTTGAGAGGGTCGTTTTTGTTCTACTTTACTAGATTCTACGACTTCAGATGTTTTTTCAGACTTACTTAATTCTAGATCTCTTTTTTCAGATACGTCTTCTTTCTTAGTTACAACGTTTTCACCAGACGATATTTGTACTGAAGTTTCTTCTGATGTTTTACTAGCTTTAGAGGTTTGTCTGCTAACAGCTATTAATGAGTCTTTTTTAGCAGTTTCGTCAGGTCTATTATTAGGAGAATCTGATTTTATTTCTGTCTCTATTTGCCGAGCTTCTTCGACAGACACACTTTCAAGGTTCTCAATAGATTGCTGTGAGACACTTACTACGTTATCTTGTGACGCTTCAACAGTAGTTTCACTTTTCTGAGTTTTACAAGCGGTTTCTACTACTTCCTGAACAGATCCTTGTGCAAATACTTCAGTACAATGGACTTGAACAGTTTGTGTCGTTGAAACTTCTTTAGAAGCCGACACTTCTTGTAGCGCTTCGACGAATTCTTCTTGGATAATTTCTTGACTTGTTTGTGACTGCGATGTGATTGATTGAACTTCGCTGACTTGAGTACTCTCTTGTGTCACAACTGATTTAGATTCTAAATCAACAGTGACTACGTCTTGAGTAGTACTTAAGGTCTCTTGAAAATCACTTGTAGCTTCTACTAATTCTGATTTAGATAGTTTCGTTGCAATATCACTTTCAAGAGACGCTTTTCTCTTTGTGGGAATTTGACTTCCCTCTTTATTTTCCTCGGATTCTTCAACACGGGATTTTTTTTCCTTTGAGTATTCTGTTACCTCTTCTGAATGCTCTCTTTTTTTAGTTTCTTCTTGTATTTCAGGGCTATCTTCTTCCTGATATAAATCTTCTTGAGGTAAAACCTGTAGATCATCCGCTGCGTGTTCTGCTAAAGCAACTGTAATAAAACGTGGTATTTCATTAAGTATTTCATATGGGCTACTAAACATTACCGGTTTTTTTCAAAAAATAGTAAGCCTTACCTAGATCGCTCGCGTATTGGCGGATTTCACGTAACCAAGCGGTCTTTACTTGTTCTTTCTGAGCCTTTAGAATGAATATCAATGGCGGGTCTTTTTGATGTAGTTCAAATTTTAATGATTCCGGATGATCTTTGATTTCTATATCAGGAATCTGTAAAAAGGACATATTTTCACAAGCGTAAGATCAATTAAAACATTCAGAACCCAAAATTAAGAACGGAAAATTTTAAATTCAATGCAAAATTAGATGAAAGTAACTTACTCTTATAATTTGTTGCAATACAAAGACAGATCGATCATCTGCCACTCTCTTTATCTTACTTATGAGGATCCTCGCTTTAAAGAGAAACAGATAGAGATTTTCTTTTGTCCCTTCTACTTCAACAGTGAACCAATCGTGCGTAAGTAGTCTTCCAAGCTTGTATATATTTCCGCGAAAGCCTTCGATACTAGCAATGAAGAGGTTATTTGTCGCTCTATTTGGGACACCGAGGAAAAGTTCTAACGCCTTTTGAAGGTCGGTGGAATCGTCGCCGAGACGTTTTGAGTATTTCACCAATTCCTGAAACATTTTCAAGATATTAGAAAAAACTTTAATTTAACTTGAAACTAGCTGAACTTGGATTTCTTAACTCAAGTATAACAAGTAGAGACTCTCAAAGCGGCATCAATTTTAATGGATAAGTATGAACTGGTGATAAACTTTGAGTCAAACAAAAAAATATTAATGAAACTGACGTAGGAATGTGTTTATCCAAAATCACCGAGTGACGAAAGCTAAGTTTGTTTACTAAAGATTTAAATTTCTTGCTGGTTTATACCACAAAAACAATGTTATTGTATAATTAAAATGAAATAAAAGTGTAAACATGCCGCAGCTATTCTTGCATGAAACTGTAATTGTTTGGCCGATGTAAACCATCATGACGTCAATATAAAACGCAGGAATTATATTTAGAATTGCGGATCTATGAATTGCTCATCTTATTTGTTCCATAAATAAAATTAAAAGGTAATTTACGAAACTGTTATAAAAGTATAAGCTTTTATTGAGAAAATAAACGCATGTAAAGAAATTTTATTTAAATGATAATAACTCATATAAGCAAAATAAATATTGAAGTAATAATAGTTTTCACTCTTTACTTACCTTGAGAAGGAGTTGGTAATCGTTGATTCGTTGTATGGGGAGTTTCAGATGTTCGGCTAGGCCTTTATCGTCACCAACTTTCTTTGCTATTTCCTTGAATAATAAACAATACATGTGTAGAGAGATTAGAAGTTAGATAATTAGGTTACTGGATTTAAAAAAAATATTCATCATCAACAGGGATCAAGCCGCACGGTGACTGGTCGTCGATGATTCGAATCGATGTTTAAGGAATTTTTTTAATATTATCTTATTGATATAAAAATTTAGTAATCGCACAAGTAAGTTTTTTTTCCTTTATTTTACAGAATAATATGGTGACTGGTCGTACTTGAATTCGTTTATGCGGTGATGTTAGTTGTTTCGACTATGTATTTGCGTTTTGTTCCCACGAGAATGTAAGTGCGTGCTCCTATTTCACCATGCCTCCTGCTGATAGTCTTTGTTTTTAATTTATTTTATTATTATTTATTACTTAAGATGTCATGTCATGAAACATGGTGCAAACGTTGTGTAAAACAAAAAACTTGGCGAGTAAAAAGAGTAGCGGAGAGTTTATTGCCAGTTCTTCTCTTCCGTTCTACGCCCTTGATTTGAGAACTGGCACGGTATATTTCTTTTTTTGATGTTCATAAGTGTATATTGTGTTGCCTACGTGAATAAATGATTTTTGACTTTGACTTTGATATAATATAATCACAATATGTAACATTAGAAAACCGCAGTGGTTTGTAGTTACATAAGAAAACCTACCGAGCCTACAATCTTTTTACAAATTAGTAATATTTTGTTGACAACTGCTGCTCATTTATGCATGATGAAAATCATCGTTACGAGTATAGCGAAGTCCGTAATGGGTCCGTTCCTCTCGCAGTGGAAGGCGGGCATTAGAGAATAATTATCGTTAAACTTAATGTGTTGGTTCTTTGGTCAGAAAATCTTGAGTGTATAAAAATATTCGAAAATGTAAAAAACCGAGCTTGGTAGACTGATAGCGATCGTCAGAAATAGTTCAAAAATTTTAAACGATTACGATACGAAGTGAAAGTCAATCAATATGTTCGTGAAATTGCTGTTGGCTGTAGACCAAACATTACAACGACAGGCATTGTCGTCTACTGCCCAGACCTACATAATTCTTGTCGAAAATGTCAAATACAACTAAAGCGTCATGTGAACAACAATCTGGGAGTAGCCTCGTTCGTACATTATGTATATTGTATGTTTAACGGTCTTATTCATTATAATGTTTATCTCATTCTGTCACTTCGCAAACTCGTAACAACACATTCTTTAATTAATTTAGTCTTAGGCGTTTATGAATAAGACCAATTTTTTTTAATAGGTCTTCGAAAATGCTACATTTATTGGAACAGGACTCGCGCTCACCGAGTTCATTGCCCATGGACCCTTAATGCCACAGGGATCAGTGCGTTGCCGGCATTTTAAGAATCGGCACGATCTTTTATTAAAGGACCCTTAAGTCAAATCGGTCTGGAACACTGCAGTGTACAGCCGGTTCCACAAAGTAATGTGGAGGCAAGAACGTCGAGGTGATACGGGTGGAATTTCGTATTCTGCCTCGACGTCCGATAATGAAACTCAGCTGCAGGTATTAGTCCGAACAACTCCTCCGAACACTCTTATATTATTATAATAGTGATAAAAGAATGAAATGTACTTAGCAATATAACTTCAAATATGGCGTATAAAAACTTGGCCTACCACTCGGTATGAACTCTGTTCAAGAAGGATTTAACTTTATAGAAGAAATTACCAAGCGGTTGCTTAACAAATTTTAAAAGAATATAATTTATAATTAATTTTTACTTGTAGTAGATTTAACAACATAAGTGGATTTCAATTTTGTTTTTTTTTTTTTTTTTTTTTTTGCGACTGAGGGGCCAACTAGCTGCTGTGGTCTCTGGCAGAATGACCAGCGTTGTGGAACAGTCTGCTCCTCAGCATAATGCTAAGCCAGTGCGAATTACAACAACAACACACACGTATTACACACTTAAAACCTACCTTGTTCTTTAAAAGGAAAAAAAAATATCTTTCAATCTCTTTTTATATTTATTTGATTATTGTTATTTTGTGTGTTTCTGGAGTGCTTTTTTTTCTGTGGCTTTTTGTATTTTTTGTTATTAATAAATGTTATGTAAATGACTATATCTATGGTTTATATAGAAGCAGGATTTGAATTTGTGGCCAAAGAACTAAGTTTAAATTCCACCAGTCTACAAAAACATCGAAAACAAAACTCTAGGTGATTTTAAACGATAAACAAGTGAAATTACTTGTAAGCGATCGTAAAGTCTTCATAAACATGAGAGCAAGACTGATTCGGTAATAAACTCGGTCGGTTATAATTAGACCACCTTGACATATTACTGTTGACGCCAACTCTGGATATTTAGAAACTGTGGAACGGAGATCGCTATAAATTATGACTATTCTGTTGTTACACTTCTAATGAGTATAATGCTGCACAGCATTATACTCATTATGTATCCTATGTAGAATATTTTTTTAAAATAAGGAATTGCTCAAAGAAATCAAACTACAGATAAATAATCTTACGTCATCACATTTTTGCATTACTAAATACTAATTATTTACTCTAAATAGATATAAAAATATGATAATTTACTGGTCTATGGATAACTCAATATTTTTTTAAATTTTTTAAAATAATTTAATTGACGTATAAATACTATTTTTGAAACACATGGAATGTCCGCGTCGAGAGGTCTTTAATTTTGAATTCAAAATAAACATGTTATAATTTTATGTGTTTTCTAAATGGGTAATTTACATACAATATTTTAATAATTACTAAAAGTTTTAATTACTACAGACAGACGTATTTATTAGTTTCATTTATACGTGATTATGTAGAATTATATACTAATTATATATATATCTACAATTTAATTCTAATTTATATATAACGGATAATCGAATATGTAACGAATGAAGTCAAAACCAATGAATCTGTTTTAAAAAAAATCTTTGACTACATCATATTATCCTTGAGTAGGTATGTTACTGAAGTATTTCCGAACCAATTCGACTTAGAGTCCTTCAAGAAAAGACCGTGACAATTCTTAAAAGGCCGGCAAGGCACTCGCGAGCCCTCTGGCATTGAGAGTGTCCATGGGCTGCCGTATCGCTTAAAATCCGGTGAGTTTGCCCCCTGTTCTATAAAAAAAACATAGGATATATTTGTTTCCAAAATGTATCAAAATACATTTCCAGCAGAAATAATATCTAAAATACCTTGTGTGTACATTATTATCATTATTTAATTTGAACCTAAATGATTAGATTCTATCCATTCGGTTATTGGGCCGGCAACATTTTAAGGATTTAAAAAATCTAAGTTTTAGCTAGATATTACAGTATAGATAGATATTTAGATGTCTCGATTGGTTCAAAAATATATAAATAATTAATAATGTAGATAAGGATCAACATTAATGCTGAAATTAATTTCTTTAAGAATCCCTACCCCGTAATTGGACAAGATATTCACAATTGTTCGATGTACCTCGTACGAACACGAATTATCTGCGTAATTCACCAATAAATTGGGTTTTAGCTAACTTCAATACAATTTAAATAGATGTAGAAATTTTCCACAATACCAAAAGGATGTGATGATTTTTTTATGACGCGGGAAGAGTTTGAGTTTATTTAGCTGTAGTAACAATTAAGTAATAGGTAGTTTGTTTAATGTTTAATTTCAGTTTAATTTTTTTGTCTATTTAAGTTATTAATTGACTTATGTTTTCTGTTTTGTATATGTTTAACAATGTAATATGTTTTGGCTTTGTATATTGTCTAAGTGTTTCTTTTATAATATGTATATTGTATATGTGTAGCTGTAAGATTACTTATATAAAAATATGAACAATCAAAGATTAAACAACCCATAAAGTATGAATAAAATCATTTGTGGATTTGGAAAATTTCAGGTTTTAAATAACATGTATTCATTAAGATCCTCGTTGCTCAATAGCAATTCTAATCGATATTTAAATCCCTGTCAAAGTGAAGAATATATGGGAAACATTGATTTTTACTCAACTCTTATTTATAAAGAAATATTTCATTTCTGGATTTTTATAAGGCTCTTACGATATACATATCCTATGTTAAGCCTTATACTGTAAGGAAATAAATAATGTGAATTTCTTTACAATTCTAAAACTATCTTAGCAATTCAGTATGTGTAATATATCGACAAATAGCACGATCGCTTCAAACGTCAGTGAGAATGCTTTAAGATGCTACGTAGTTGAATCTTATAAATATAGAAGTTTAGAACTTCATTGCTGACTCATGTTTGAGTTTAATTTTACTATACATTTAACAAATAATGCATCTATAATATTTGCATCTACCGTTAAGTTACAAATTTTTAAACTACAGTTTTTATAATTACATTAACTATCAATTAAAGACATCTGTTATCGAGGTAAACAAACTTAACCTTTCATAGTAAAATGGGTCAAGGTCAACGGAAGCAGCACAAAGGACCATACGAAACCAAAACGAAGCGAGAAGATACGACACCCACGCTACGCCTAGAAATAAACCAGACGCATGAAACACTACACCGCGGGTAAATTTCGCAATCCGGCTATTTTTACCCCCATTTTGGGGCTACGTACCTGGGGTCACAACACAATCACAGTCACACACTTCACTCGATCGAGTGGTCGGAGGGTCACGCTGGAAGTTGCGTGTTCGCGGCCGCGGTATCCAAGCGACTGGGATACACTATGCCTTGACGATCCCACGGCTAATATTAGCACGTAGGAGAGAAATTTCTCCGGTGACGTTGAACAAGGTCGCTAAACAAACCTTGGCGTATCCTTGTCTACCACTTTGTTAGCGTAATATGACATGCTGGAACTTAATTGTTATGAACGAGGGAATTTAAAGAATAAATTGTATTTGTTGCGATGTAAGTTGAAAAATAATTCAATATCTCTTCAAACTCCATGTATTCAAATTAAAACCAGTGAGCCATCCCGTTCAGAATCAGGCGAAGTGTATGTGTAACATTTACAGTCAAAACCGTT